GGAACTGCGGCTCTGGAAATTCGCTATCCCACAGTTTCTGCGTCACCCCGTCTATCTCCACGAGAGCTTCACTCAGTCGTTGGCATTTGTACGAAGGGCCCCAGAATGAGAGTTCGTAAGACGAGTTGGAGATTGGTGCAGGGACTGGAAGCACTTGGGCCGATGAGGCCGTGGTTACGAAGACGCGGGTCATGTTGGCAGAGGGGGAGGTGATGTGCCACATCTCATCGAATTGTGCCTCATTACGCCAGAATGACGGGTCGAAGTTAACGCTTGGAACGAGCCGCTCGATCTTGTCCTGGGCTGGATACGTAACCACGTTCAAGGTTGCAGGTGTAACGATCGCCGTCAGGGGAATCAGCCTGGTCGGATCGTGAATCAGTCATAGGCTCACCACGAGACATGGCGGTGCACATACCAGGAAATAATCGCCAGCCCGGTCAGCGTCTTTCCATATATCCACAAGTCCAGGGTGAGAAAAGCAAGAGGGCTGTCCCGGACGGCAAACATGCTATCGATCCCACTAAGCCGGACACTCTTCCGGCGTAGGGTGGCCCAGGTCTCCTGCACCGCTGCGAGCCCAACAGCGGACACCAGGCATGATTTGATCAAAAAGGCAAAGCCAGTCCCGATCCGGATCGCCCACGTTTGTTCCTCGCGAGACGCGACGCGAGCGCCGTCGAAGCTCTTGTAGTAGTAATGATGACCAACGGACAGCAGCGCACCGGAAATGACGAGCCCGACCATCAGGGCCGGACACCTCCAGCCAATGCCCCATGCGGCGGGCGTCTCCGTCTCTTGGACTGGCACTGGCACTGGCTCTGGCGACTGAGGACCTTTCTCCGGGACCGGGTTGCAATCAGCGTGGTGATTATTAGTTGGCGGAGACATATTATATTGAGGTGCCCGGACAATAGCGGACTCAGGCCCTGTTGGAGACAGAGGCCCTTCAGCCGTTCTTATAGGGAATGCGGTTCCTGAGAGGGCTGGGAATAGCAAACCCTCTCAAAGCCATTGTGTGTGGGCCATGGCTGAGCCTTGCCTGCAGGATCCTTTGCTTTGCAGCCTTCATTCTGCTGTTTCCATTGGCTTCTTTCAGCGACGGACGAATGCGGGCCATTTATGACTTCTGGTTGCCAAGAAGCCATTTAGAGCATGGGCTGGTTTTCAGCCCCCAATACTGGCAGGCGCTGTCAGCCGGGATTGGCAATGCACTTTCCACTGCTGGAAACGCACAGGCGGAAGCTGAAGCGGCCTGCTAGTAGTGCTGCCCACCGCTCGACTTGAATCGTCCGATACTTTAGCGCCTGGATCATGCATGCTGAGCCAGCCGTTTCAATGAATCGGCAGGGGCCGCATCCCACAATACTCGGTGCAATGTTTCGGGCAGTAGCACCAGACAGGGCGGGAAAGTGAGAAGTGCTGGTTGAAGATACCGGGAAAGAACAAGAACTTGAACAAGATCAAGAATGACAGACTGTGTGCTCTCTTTTGAGACAGGCAACATCACATACCACGAGGTCCTGCCAAATTGTTCCTCAACTGGACCTTCCACCAGGTCGGATCGTTCCCGAAGCGCTGCCAAGCGCCGGCCACGCACAGAATACGAGGTCCGTTCCTCGTGTTCCGTTCTATTCCTTGCGAGTTGCGGCCTTAGTCTAGGTATCTGGTCGGAATGGCCCCCATGGGGCAAAGTCACGCGTTCAGGTTTAACCAGCCAATGATCGCTGACTATTGAGGCCAGGGGTTCAACCCGAATCTTGGGGGTTGAACCTCAAGTTGCACCCCTATCATGCATCCTGTTTTGCGCCAGCAGCACGGTCTGTCTAGCTTCATTTTACGCGTCTGTTCGCGATTTGCGCGTTGATGTAGCTTAATGTTACATCTAAGGTCTCTATGTCGAAATCATATGGCCGGTAGTCCCTGTTTTCTAGGCATTCAATGTTGAGTTTTGCAGTCTTTAATGCCTCTGAGGCTTGATAGATACTAAGTCGTCCTCCCTGAGACACACTAGTCTTATACGGTATCGTGGATATTCGGGAAGTTTGTATAACACACTTCCCCTCGAGCGTTATCTTAGATAATTAGACATCTTCAATATTACTCCATTGCTGGCCGCCGTCATTCCCTTTAGATCGTATCCCTCACCTCAACGTATTCCAGCTGGTGGTTAAAGAAATATACGTTTACTACGTGCAGCACTAGCGCATCTTCCTGGACTAAAATGAGATTGCTATAAAAATTCATTATGTTTTGCTGAAAGTGTTACAAGGTAATTCAATCTAAAGGAAGAGAGTCTATTTAACCAAGAAAACCCGGCTAGGGAAAAGAAGAACAGAGCATGAGAAGAAACAATGTATTCCCACCTGATGTTTTCATCGGGGGCCGGCACCCCCCATGCACGGTCACGATGAAATTTTTTTTTGAGGATCTTAAAGGGAAGTTAGGGTTGGAATTGGGGCTTTTCTGGGTTTCTTGGGTTATTACCGGTATTAGCGGGTTCCTTGGGTTAGACCCATATACAGGTGGATCTATAAACCAATCCTATCATGCTTATATGTTGCCTTTTGGAAGTTGATATATCGCTTTGCTTAATTTACTCCCTACCTTAGTCTATTCTTGATTCAGGGAGCTATTTGTTTGGCGACGAGCCATCCGAGCTTCAAGGCGAATCATCGCGCATTGACGAGGGAAATGTGGATTCTTCATCTCGCTTAAGCTCGCTGACAGCTCGGCACGCGCAAAGCGATGCTACATCACTTCCTTAGTGGCCCCTCAGGTAGACGGTGCGACGACCGTAGTAAAGCTGAATTCTCTTCGACACCAGGTTAATCGAGTCAAAATCATAGTTCCCGGAGGATTTACAGCTCCTGGGAGTGAACTGTATAGCTCCGGGGAACGACGAGTTGGGTCCTCGAAAAGACCGTTGCTGGTGGGCGATCAGTGGGGTCACCCGCCGGAAAATATTTCAACCGAAAAAGAAACATACGCTTTGCATCTGTTCCTGGCCTTCTGGGCTCGAATACTGGGAACATGGGGGATCCCTGGGACTAACCAATGACTCACTCCCAGGGGTTGGGCACGAAGGATCCAGGAACGTCCAGTCGAGATCCTAGGAATACACAGGGACACGGGATCACGCCATGCCTTTCTAGGAGCTTGTAAAGAGATTCATATACACTACATTACGGGAAGTCTGCGTTCAGTACCTGCGCACCCCGAGTTCGGGATGAACGTCTTCTCAGCCCTAATCACATAGCCAAGGGAAAATTTAGATCTCGCCATAAATTACCCTTAGCAAGTAGTTAGCCTGGCATATCCCAAGTATTAAACCCAAGTAGGTTGATTCTCTGGGCTATATTGAAATTGTTATTATCACGTGATAAGTTGCGAATAACCAATAACCATTCGGTCGCAAATCCCCACCGATGATTATAACCCGCCTGCCCGATACGCGCCCATTGTAGAAGGGCTCTTAGGATTTAAAAGGGCCTGGACGTCTGGGGCCATGACGTACTAGATTGTAATTACTCACTATCGGCTGCAACAGAGCAGATTAGCGGGGGAAATCCTTTGAGCCATGGATTTACGAACCTAAGCGAACAGGATGGCTCAAAGATAATTGGACAAATGGAAGTGATCCTTGGTGCCACTTCGCACACCAGCAATCGTGCCGATGGCTGTTGGTTCCAGTTTCCAGTTTTTGAGAAGAGGTTCCTTTGCCCAAGGATCAGTTAAGTCAGGCGATGGGTTACTATGGTGTAATACCCTAGCTTAGTTCTATAAAGTAGTTTTAACTGTCGCTTCACGTATAGATAGATCTGTCCCCATATGTTCAACTACCACTCAACGGTCCTTATATTGGGTCAAGACAAGTGTATCATGACAACATGTACATCCGGCTAATTGAAACTTGGATATGGCTGTCATTTGTTACAGTTGTCGTGGTATGGCGGTTGTAAGTATTAGCAGCATTTGTAACATGGTATTCTATCTGCGCCTAACACGGATGTCTAGTATATCCAGGTCGATTCTCTTAAAAGGGCCAAAACACTTCTTACTCGAGGATTATCTGATGCTCCTTGTATATGTGAGCTGCTCTTCTTTCCTTGATATAGTTGGTTGGGCGGTCTTGACCTTGAAAGGGGTTGTATATCAATCTCATCATATGGGTGAACATACAATCAAGGCACCAGGAAACCAATATACTCCCGCCGACAGGGTTGGAGGGTCTTACAGCTGAAGACATCGAAGATCGCATCTACGCCAGCAAGGTTGCCATGATTGTTGAGCAAAACATGATACTGGTGCAATGGGGCTGCAAATCCTGCCTGATTCTTATCTATTACCGACTGACGTGAGTAATTCCCAAGCTCACCTACGTAATACTCTGACTAATACACTGTTTCCGCATGAAGCAAAGGACTCAAAGAAGCGGTTTTTGTGAAAATAATGATGGTCTATATTGCACTCAGCTGGATTGTCATAGAAATTTTCATGTATGCAGTCTGGTGCCGTCCAGTGTCCGATTACTGGGCCGTGAAGGTGGGAAATTCAGGTATCCACCTTTTTTTAAACCTCTTGCTTCTCAATACTGACATGAGAAAGCTCAATGCACTACTGCAAAGCACCATTTAATCATGTCATTCGTATTCAACGTATCATCGGATATTGCCATGCTCTTCATCCCAATACCGTTGATCATTAAGTCGAAGATGTCGACTTTGAAGTACGCACATTCTTTCCCAATATACGGACCGTGCTAATAATGACTAGAAAGATTCTGTTAAGCTGTGCTTTTGGCCTTGGCATTTTCGTAGTGAGGCATTCCATACCCGCATGGTTGTTGTATCATGGCTCACAGTAAGCAGATCGCATGCGCGATAGCAAATCGTGTATACTCCTTTGCCAATATCGCCAGCATTCAATGGATTTACTGGTATGTAAGGGAGGCATCTACAGCTGTGATCGTGTCGAATATTCCTAACTGCTACACACTCTTACGCCGTATTCTTGATGTTCTTCGGCGCAAGCGTACCGAAATTGTGGGCAGAGCCCGCCAACCGTTGCATCGCTCCAATGCGGATGACGCTTCCCATCGTACGGGAAAGGTAAAGCCACACATGACCAATACATTTGGGAGCATAAGGAGCAGTACGGGTGGCAATGAAGGTGCACTTTAATAGATCGCTAGTAATCATTTCCTCAGGAGGATGTTTATAGACTTGATAGTATTATTCTATCATAATTAGTACATCGACCGTGCAGAGAGATAGGAAAGAGATTAAACAGGATCCTGATGTTCGCGTTAGATTGGCGACGCCGCCATCCGGAAGCCATTACTGCGAGCTAATAGGAACATCTCAACGACGGGTCTACCTCTCTCAAGTCCTGTATGTAGGTTCACACTCCTGTAGATCCTAACAGTCCCTGCTAGCTCAAAGGCTTTCATACACATGGTCAAACCGTTAAAAAGAAATTAAATTGTAACAGTTCTTCCACACAAAGTCAGCCCGAGCGACAACTAGTTGGCTCAGAATAACATGGGGTAGAAACACGTCCTGGAGGGTCATAGGTGTGAGGGGCCAATCAACATCCATCCGTATTTGATGTTATTGTCTACAGTCTAGTCGACGTTAGCGTTGGTTCACTAGGTACACACGAGTGCAATAAGAGGAAGAGGAAAACATTCAAATATCCCCACGATGCTTACATCTTTGGATTGCTTGGTAACGATCCTCTTGCTAGACTATAGGAGAGACCACCGGCGAGAACCTCCTCTGTCCGGGCTACCTTGCTTGGTTCAATCGGCTATTTGTAGTTCTTAGCGTGTTGCTTCAACCGTGAAGTTCCTTTTTCCATAATTTGCATTTTTTCCAATGTGAGGACTTGTACCTTTTGAAATGCCGTTGCTCGACAAATCCCCTACGCCGTCCACCGTTTCGAGAGTAGTGCGAACTGAGTAATCGCCGTTCTTTGCTGCTGATTCAAGAACTTAAATGGCTTTTTGCAGGAGCTGGTAGCTCGAACGTCGCGTTCGGACGTTCACTGGACACATCAAATCCTTCATTGACGAGAAACCATCCAACAGGTGCAGTTACCTTACTTCCGTTTGTACGTATCCTTATGAACAGTCACGGTAGGGGTTGAGAACTGGGTAGGCGGATTTTAATTGGCAAAACCACATTACCACCCAACTCACCACCCTGACAGCTGATTCTGCGGGCTGGTAATTAATAGTTTATTCATAAGAATTGCAAGGGGAGAGGGAACTGATGGTACGACCAAGTCAATTAACTTTCAAAGTCTGGGCTGACAGTTTGATTTAGTTATATTTGAGATCTTAAAGCCTCTACTGTGTAAAACAAGTAGATAAACTCGACTGTTACAATTAAGAATTATCCCCCTCCGTCCTCTTAACCCGCCCCCTTACGAAGACTCCGTGTCTACGTATTTATAGAGCCGATCTTTTCATGAATTTTGGATAAAAGAGAAACAACGAGAATTTTGATCTAAAAGGCCTACTGTTAAGACTGACTATATTGTTTGAACCGCACCTACACGGCGCCTTGCCTATATTCCTCGAAATTATATCGAGAAAAAGGCGCGGCAGCTCCTAGCATCAATTCGGGCGATTTAACACCAATTATGTCGTAGATAAGAATAGGAGTCGTAGCTTTGGAACTAGGTTGCGAGTAGGTCTCACCAACCTATGGGTGTTAGAAGCCTTGGAAGGGCTGCGCCATGCTGGCCGATAAGCCTCTGTAGCTCTCCGGGGCAGGTAGGAAGTGTCGGTGTTCTTTCGTACGTCTAGCCCGCATTCTCGAAATTGTCTTAACCAATACACGCTTGGCAGTTGTTTCCTATTCTACCGGCAGCATAATAGTAATATTACCATTCCCGTACATCTCTAATATAGCACTACGTACGAGTTTATTAGTTTCACGATTGCGGGGCGCATTAAATATAGTGTAGGTAATATGCAATGCTTATTTCTTGCTAATTTATCGCGGCCTATAAAATACAGTATATAAAATGTAAAATACTCAATTTCGCACCTTATCGAGGTATTTTAAAGGTAGTATAGGTAGTATTCAGTAATCAATTCCTTATTAAATTATCTAGGCCTATCAAATACTGACAAGACGGATATTGATTTGCATGTTATCGATACAAAGTTTCGAAGCAGCATTTTCTATTATTACTATTATCGCTTCGTTCGAATTTACTTATCCTGTTACTAGCACGATATATATAGTACTTACTAGTGTTCGGGTGATAAGAATAAGGGAAGATACCGGCAATTGTAGATCTAGCGAGATATGTTCATAATCCTATCATAAATTACGCGGGAATTAACAATCCCTAACGGCATATTTATAGATCCCTAACAATATATTCCTAGAACTTCACGCTAAGCTTCAAATCCAAAGATACTGACAAATTCTCAGCCACCAAGCAAGCCATATCAGACTTTCTCCCAAGATACTGAAGCGCAGCGATACATGCTTCACAATTATCCCGGAAGCACTCAGCTAGCACATCATGCTCGTCAGACATATCCAGACATTCTATAGAGATGTACCCCGCCTTGGCAAAGGAATGAACTAGAACGACAGTCCATGGCTCAACTAAGAAAGCCACTTCGTTCACAGAATCATGGAAATGGCGGTTCATGGTGGATTCTTGTCCTCTAAGTGAGGAGTGAGCCAGTGCACCGACTGCAAGAGCATTATCTGTCCTGAGTTTGGACACGATATCTGTAGCTTCGCGACCCCGGCGCTCAGTGTCAGAGCCGAGTCTTCCGTTGTCAATGCTTTCTATCACATCTGCCAAAAGCATTGTAGCAAGATGCCAATGGCCATCAAGTATAATGTACCACGATTGGATGCGAGGAGGAAGTAGTTGGTGGTTAGCGACGCAATCTAGCATGAATGTCCGATATGTATGATTCCAGTGCTGGTAGACCAGCATGGTCTTTTTGATCACGTCTTCTAGGCAATCGCTACTTGCCCCTCTATAGACCAGGGTTTGGAGTTGCGTGACTCGACGGTATAGCAAGACTTTGACCGGGGTTGCCTCTGAAAGTACAGAGGCCGCTTCTTCGTAGGAGCATGGCCATCTTGGCTGGGATTTGCTATACTCTCGACCCTCCACGGGATAACGGAGAAAGAAATCACCCCATACATCATGCTTGTGGCGAGCCTTTCTTCCTGGAATACTCCAGCCGTCGAGATCCACCTGGTATTCGGTTTCAAGCGTGGTTGGCGATGCCGATGCAATTTGACTGTCCTCATCCGACACCACGAGGGGACGCTGATACATCGCCGCACTCAAGGTATCAAACATGACTCCTAGCCAGAACATAAGGCCAAGCGTACTGCGGTGCTCATGACTCGTGAGGATCGGGTCGACCCGGGGAGACTGAGAAGGAGTGGTCATTTCGAACATGTCGGTCATTGTTGATCCTATCGACCCTCTTCGAGTCTCCATCAAACATTGTGGGGCCTCTCGTTGAAGCCTTGTAAATTTATGGCGAAGAGTGAAAAGCTGGCGGTTCGCGGTTTCGAGGAATATCGGCGCAGGGTCATTCTCTAACAGCTGACCGAGTCGTGAGTCCTGCCCCTTGTCCAACGGACTCTGCGTCAAGGAGAATATGATATTGGCGAAAATAATACGGAAAGAAGGTATTCCGGTTGATTGCTCCAAGGCTTGCCTTGCCTTATTCCAAACGTTCTCTCGAATGGCTCTTTCATCGTACTCGATTTGCGCTGGGACAGATAGTCCTGTACCCTTCTGAGCATGTTGAGTCCACTGCGAGGCAAATGCCATGATTGCCAGATGCAGTGTTCTGAATGCAGTCTTATCCTCTTCCACGCTTAGAGCCCGACCGCGTATTGAGGACGAAGCACGATCCAAACGACAAACCCGGATACACATTCTGTTCGACCAACTCGGTCCCCACACCTTCATCTCTCTGTAAGGCTGCACGACACCGGCCGAGTCGCTGTAAGGGCAATTGTGCTCCGTCAACCAGCATGATAATGCGTTTTCCATACTATCGTGATATATGCGGATCAAGTTGCGTGTCATCGTCGCACGAGCGTATTCCCTAGCTGTATTGTCGGAAGCAGTACAAAAGCCAGGTTGGAAACTTGGCTTCAATATTCCATTGGAAGAAGATGTTGAGGAATATATGTTGTCACTAGGCTTGACACTTGACTTCGTGAATCCGGAAGAACAGGAATTGGACCCATCTTCAACCTCCTGGGCCAGGTCAAGGGTGCTACCAAAAGATATAGGTAAAGAGGCATTCCATGTTGTCTGGTATCCCATTCCTCCCAAGGCCTTTTCTGACCATTCACTCGCTGCACTGGTATTCCAATCACTAGGACTTTCCATTATCCAAGGAAACGTTCCCGAGTGCCCGATAGGTTCCAACCCTTCAGGAATTGCTTCTTCCGGGAAAGTCGAGGACGGCGAGGTGGAAGCAAAACTAGAGGCCTCGGCCATATGCGCAGGGTTGACAGTATACCACTGTGAAGATCGCAGTGTCTCGTCTAGGATGGCACTGCATGAACTCGTAATGGAAGAAACATCAGGCCTCCGATGTGGACCCCCAGCGCTTGACTGTTTTCTTTTCCTGCCTCCGGCGTAGTCTGTATGCTTCAAGGCAAGCCATTTGAACGTGCACTCTTTCTTCCATCGTTTGCAGTTCGAACAAGAGAAGCCATTTTCCTTTCGCTTCTTCTAGAATCTTAGAAGTCAACATCTTCCGATGGTAAGGCAGGGCAATCTTCACAAACCGGTGCATCACAGCCCCTCTTTCCCTTGCGGCATTGGTCGCAACTATGAAGCTGACGTCGACGGGAGTCCTCCATGGTGAGAAATGGAAGCCAACAACCGTGGTCAGTACCAGAGAGGAAACGATTGTTTTGGCTCTGGTATCTTCCTCAATATGCATTATCGTAAGGAGTAAGGCAGACATATTTAAGTTGACAAATTTACCAATTTCCGGGGTACGCGAGCATCGCGAAATTTTGCGGGGTTTGTGGGGCTGAAAGCGCGTGGCGCCGATGATAAGATTTCGGGTCAAAGGAACTAGAAGGGCATGCGCCTTCTACATGACCGTGGGGCTATGTCCGCTGGACAAGGCTGTAAGCTGCGATCATCGGAGCTCAGTTGTTTAGCCCGTGGGCCGCCCATTTCCGTCCGTGAGGCCGTGCATGTAGAGAATACTGAAATTCCTAGGATCTGGGGGAAACCGGGGAGATCTGGGGAAGGACTGGAAGATGGTGGAGTCAATAAACCAATAATGACCCATCTTACGGCGAAATATCGGAGTGGATGTTTCAATGCATGTCCATCATTGCTGATCCATTGACGGTGATTGGCAGATCACAAGATGTAGACATATAGACAGGAGAATGTCTGTCGGGTGTGGCCTTCCCTATCTGGGAGGCCGCTTTATGAGGGCGCTCAGGCTCAGACCCAGTGACCGCCTCAATTGTGTCTATCATGACTAATCCACGGCGTGCTTAGTGCGTGCTTATGGCTATTTCCCGGGATGCCCGGGTCTGTCTGAACCCAACCCGTTTATCACACCGAGATTCATCAACGGACATGGCGTAGCTGGAGGCTCAAATTAGCCCATGGTTTCTGAATATCTGCCGTCGTCAGCTTTTCATTATAAGTCAAAATTCGCATCCCTCATGCTCAGCTGGAGGATAGAGTCCCCATTGCGAGCTCTTCGTCTTAAGCTTCCAATGGTTGATGTAGTTAGTGTTCATTGAGGTATAGCACAGTATTATCCAGGAGAAAGGCCCCTCTTCAACATAAGGCGACTCGATAAATGCCACTGTATTCAGACCAATGCCTAATATGGGGATGGGTGAGAAACAAAATCCCTCTGATATTGCTTAGAACACGCGCCTTTTTCCACTCGCTAGCCCTTACAATATTCTCTTTTCCATTTCGTTTACAATTTTAAATACACAAATCTGAGCCCTAACTCCTGGTGCTAGTATGTAAAGTAAGTGGAACCCAACGCAACCCATGGTGATAACAGATCAGTGTGCTACCTGTGAGCATATCAAAGCTTTGTTATCGAAAACAAAATGAAGAAATCAATCTCAGTGTCCTTCCTGCGTTAGACCGTCCTGCTGTAGTTCATGCCACTTGCGAATCACCATATTTTGTTCTTCGTTCGACGCTGCACACATCTCTTCAATGCCCTGTGTGATACGTAGTCGAATGATTTCTTTGGATTTGATTTTAGAGAGAGACCCGCGAACGCATTTGTGCAAGCCATCTAGCGGTAATCCTGCTAATCCAAACAGACCTAGACACATTAGGTCCAGAGTATGTTTGATGTGGTGAGACAGTATCTTACCTGCAGTCGGCTTGAAAAAGACGCCCCCCACGCCTTTCCCGATTCCCTTGACCATCCCTTCACCTCCCGACTGCCGAAACCCCCGGGAGGGCAGCGTGACAAGTCCAGTCAGACCATTATAGAGTCCGTGGTAGAACTCCTGTGAAAAATAAGAAAATCGGTTCTGGAACTAAAATTCATAATACATGAGCTTACCTTGCCGGCTGCTCTGAATCCACTCTTGATCCCGATCACTTTGGGCATCGGTTCAACTGTATCGTCATGGTATAGTTTCGGTGCATTGTGAAAACCCTTTGACAAGCTGAGGGTAAAGTCGGTTGGAAGCACAAGCACAAAATTCAGTGCGTGTTTTGCCGATTTTGCAGCGTGATAACGTGTTTCAGACAAAACTTTCCTTGCACGACGGCGTCTTTTGCCATAGCTTGTCTCTTCTCCCTTTTTCACGGCAGTTTGTCCGCGAGTAAACTGCGCGCCGTCGACAGAACGGGATTCACTCAAATTTGCCACTGTTTCATTGGTTACAGCATTGGAGCTTTGAATTATTCCAGGATGTTCTCGAACGTATTCATCAGGACCAGGACTATACAGTTCTCCACTAGGAGCGCTGATGTCTGTGACGGCCTGAGAGTCCCTCCTGCGTTCTTGATTTGACAAAGTTTCCGCAAAATGTGACATAGCCCATTCTCTCCCTCTGAAATCTTGTTGCACTGTTCCTGGGTGAGATCCGGGGAAGATACTTACTAACTGTCCCGGAACACGAGCAATACCAGTGATGAGATCTGTCATTAGGCCGTACAAAACTTCTGCGCTAGCTGAAAGAGGACCTCTAGGGTCGCGGTTCGTGTCGTATTCTCGCACTCGATATCTAAAGCTGTCAGATTGACTGCAAGGAAAAACAGAATTTTGAGATGCATACAATCTTATATCTTGTGGCTTGATATGGCCCGTGTGCAATAGTATCGAAACTGCAAAAGCGCTTAGCTTGGTATGCGAATTTCGGAGCCACCACACTGCCGGTCGATCGGGGCAAATGGTGCATCTTAATTTCTCAACGTTTAGATGCTGGTGGAAGCTGTGCACAGCTTTCTGTACTCCCTGTTCCGTCCGCATGTTCTCTCCTATTTGCCTGGCATTTTCCCGAGCCTGTTCTCCCAAGGCTACTTGAATTGCCGAAGCCAATTTTTCAGCTGTCAGTTCTTTGTATGGGATCGGCCGCGGGCCAGCATTTGCTCGAGCAACAATGGAACCCCAAAACGGTTGGTCGCCAAAAAAGGGAACAATGACAGTTGGGCGGCCCAGAAGGAGACCAGCAGCAGTAGTTCCAGCACCACCATGGTGTACAACGCACGAGACTTGTCGGAAGAGCCAATCATGGGGACATGGTCCCAACAGAAATATACTGTCGGGAATGTCAGTTTCTCCAGAGCCGATATTACCCCATCCTTTTGAGATAAGCGCGCGATGGCCCGTTTGGCGAACAGCCTCAAATATCGTCTTTGTCAATTTTTTAGGGTTATCAACTACAATTGATCCAAATCCAATGTATATTGGCGGCTGTCCTGCCTTCAAGAAAGCGTCGAGTTCCTCCGGTGGTTCATACTCTGACTCGGTCGACAGAAACTGAAATCCACAGACATCAATATTGTTAGACCAGTCGCGAGGTTTTGGAAGGAGAGATGGTGACCTTCTGGCGTTAGATAAAACCGACAGGCATAAAGGACTACTCACCAGAGGTAAGTATATGGGATTTGCAGTCGATGGATCATGCTGGGTGCCCGGATGGCATCCAACGGATCCAAGCCCAATTCCTTCTTGCGGAAATGGTTAATGAGGTCCCCGAGTCCTTCCCACATCATTACCTCCACTATCCCATATGAAGCAAAGTTCGCCACAGATGGCTTGGTTTTCTGTGAGCGAATATTGGCCAGCGGGTGTGGAAAAGATTGCGTCGGGGACCAGGGCATCCTAATATATTCAGAATGTGTCCTAAGAATCAAGAAGTTCAATATCCGACTCACGTAAACATCATGTTCAAGGGAATCCCCAGCTTTTCGGCACAGCTAAAATGCACAAATCCCGGGGGATTCGCGATAATGACATCTGCGACAAATGGCCGTGTATAACGGTCCACAGCACCGCCCTGCGTATGTTCGGAGATATGGTGCATTCCTGTCCCATCTCCAGTCTCATAGCAAGAGCGCCAGCATCCAGAAAAAATGGCTTTCATTTCCCGTCGGCGCTTCTGAATCTCGCCGCTGCGAATGGTGCGCATGCCCGGCAACAAACCAGGGTTCTTGACCATGAAGGCCATCAGTTCCTCTGGATTACCACCAATGTTGAAGAATTCGAGTCCCGCACCCTTCACATCCTTGCGAAAAGACAAGTGTGTGGCTAGTCGAACTCGATGTCCATGTTTCTGAAGCTCCTTACCCAAAGCGACGAATGGCTGAACGTCACCGCGGGATCCAACGACCTGTAACACAATGTTCAGGTTCAAAGAAAACTTGGTCTCTTCTTTGGGAACGATGTTTAATTCATCCTGCTGTTCTGCGACCGGCCGCGTAGGTTGCTCCACATGGTTCATCAAGGTAGTAAGCCAGGGTTTGTGCTCTCGAAAATTGATATCCAACCTTCCATCTTCTGCTCTTGCTTGTGAGTCAATATACCACATGTAACTCTAGGATATTACACACCCTTCACTCGGACTCCAGTACTGAGTCCCTGTTCTCGAACAGTCGAAAAATCATTATTGGCTGAGGCTTTAGAGCTAAGCTGCTCGCCCTGCCAATCTCCCGCTGAGATGGTAGTTTGGCGTTGTGGCTCAGCCATCACTGCCATGCGTGGAAGCTAAAGAGAATGTCGGGAACAGATTTTCCAAAATAGCATGCAAGCTTTGAAGATGCAGTTCCACTCGTTCAAACAACACCTTTATATAATTGCCACACCGCGTCATTAGGAAGAGAAAATAGACCTCGGACTTGCGGAAGCTTCAGAGCGGTAAAACAAAGTTATTGTGATGGAGTACCCGCGGTTGTATGATATCATCAGTGTTTGGTCCGACAAGTCAAAGAGAACCATGGACTCTGCAAACTGAAATAAGCCTAGACAATTCTACTGAGAATGGACCTCAATCAGGACAATGCATTCCATATTTCCTCACCTTTAACCCGAAACGGAAAACTGAAACCGCCAAGTCGAGACCACTGGTCACCTGATTTAGGAATAGAACTGAGCATTAAATCTAGCGAGCTCGCGTGTTAAACTAGCGGGTACAACAGAATGGGCCGAGAACTTCGAGGGACGCTCGGAATTTCTTTTATAATTAGAAAAACCACGTGGCCATCGCCTCCATATAGCAATTCCTTATCAGACTAGCTCTAATCATGCAGAGAGAAAACATCAATGCCGAAGTTCTCCTCTCCAACCAATTTCTTTGTTTCACGCAACAAACCTTTTAGATCATCTGCCAATAATGCAGTCGCTACTTCTATGACGGCGAAGGCGGCGTAGCCCGGCTCACACACGTGCGCCGCACTGAGGATGTCACGGTCAGTCTTCTTGAGCAGCTGATCCAGGCTGACTGGCTCTGGAGCTGTAAGGAACGAGGGTAACGGCCGGCCCGTTGATATGGCAGTAGCGATCAAAGAGAGAGTGGCAGAAACTTCTCGAGAACTTAGCTCTAGGGAGATCACAAGATTCTTGAAGTCTTTTAACCACGAATCTGAGGTTTTTTGATCTCCAGTGGAAGTTGGGAAATTTTGGAACGACTCGGCGACGTGAGATATCATGGTTGTGAAATGAACGATACTGGAAGTGGTCAGTGGTGAGAACGAGGTGACCTTGCATATGGGGTGAAACTGACTGCTGGGTATGATTAATGAGCCTGTCGTAGGATGCTTCTGGGAACTTCCCACCCAACCCGAGTTCCCATGTCGCGAACTTCTTGTGCTTCTTCATGCCTTCGAGAAGAATAATCTCTTTAGCGAAGAGTCGACTTCGAGCTTTCTGGAGCCTCCTTCCCGGGCTTCTCTCGTCCCCCGGATCTCCTTCTGCTTCTCTTATCTTGAGTGATACTGTTTGATGCACAGAGCAATAGTAGTTGCCCAGCAGATAAAGTGAAGCTCCTAGGTCCTCTCGGAGCTGTCGCCGAACTGTAGTAACTGACGGAAAGTGCGTAAAGATGAATGCAACAGCCAGGCCACCAATGACTGTAGCTAACCTGTACGGAGCAAGCTCGTACAGGGGATGGTAGACCTGGCCATTAGAAATCGAGATGGGAATACCGATTTTCTTAACTTGGAGTTCATATCCCACTATCAAGATAACCGTGACCATTCCTATCATTGGAACGACGAGGGTGTCAGGGTGCTTGATCAACGGGTAATGGTAAAAGAACATTGTGATGCCGAGAAATACGATAATGCCCGCGGTTTGCTGATCGACAATATACCAAATAATGTACGATGCAATCATTGCAAGTACTGTTCCACCAAATCGTAAGAATTGCCCATAAATACCCGACCCCGCGGTTCTCGTCATGCTGATGGCGACCATGATCGAACCCCAGATCAAGCGCTGTTCAATGAAGAACTGCTGAGAATTCCTCAAGAAACAAACGATTGAAATCACCATGGTGGCTGTTGCCACTCGGAAGCCAAATGCTGACTCTGGAGAGCCGAAGATGTGAGAAATGATGCGGAATTTATCCGATATTTTTTCCCAGGCGGACACCGGGGGAAGGTGTTCAGGATCCTTTTCGGACTGCTCAATGTCGCTAAGGCGGACTATGACAGTACCAGATCGGGTGCTATATTCCTGGTAATCCAAATTGCTGTCCTCTCGAGATACTGTGTCTCTGGCCCACTTCTTAAGTTGTTTCCAAGTTGGGAAGATAAGCCTGCTCCTCGCCATCGTTCCATCATCCACTTTGGATTCAGCATACTTAGCCAGATCTAAAATCGCTTGCGCAGTCATGATGCAGAAATATTCTAGCTTGGAAAGGATCAGCATCTTGTATTTTTACTACGGTAAAAATCAAAATGAAAGAGCTCACATCGAGTACCAGGTACAGCTGAGACAAATGCCGTTGATGTAAAGGATAGTCCTGTTGCGTCGCGTTGTTCTGTTGGAAAGAATCGTCCATACCCTTAGAAGCACACCAGTCTTCTAGGGGGCCTTGTCTCTCTTTAAGAAATTGCTGTATCATGCCCTCACAGTGCGCGACCCAGTCCCTATTCTCAGGTAAACAATTGTGGCCATTCGCTTCGAGGTCAGTTCTGACAGAAGATGCGGGCCTTTTCCCGAGTTGCAGAGCATACAATGACTCGTCAAGGCCTATCATCATTCCTTTCTGAAGCTGTTGGGCACGAACGCACAGCTGCCCACATATCCAATACCACTGCTGTCTTTCTCTGTCCTGGAGATGGGCATATTCAGTATCAGTCAGAGAATGACCAGCCTTTAAGCCGCTCACAGCCTCCCAACCACCACCTTTCTCGATACGATGCGTGGCATGACTGAGGCACTCCATGCCTAAAAGGGGGAACAAAATTTTCCTTTCCAGGTGGCTTATGGTCTCCAAATCCTTTGCGTCTAACCTGCCCCATGTCGCCTCAACCTTTGCGTAGCGAAGTTCCGATTGTGACTTTGCTTGGAGTGTGGTAATAGTGGTTAGGAGCTTCTTCAAAACATCGGCCTCAGGCCAAGGGCTGGTTCCCGCGAGAGAATTGTAGTAGCCGTCTATTCCGCTATCATGATCGTTCGGAGCATACGCAGTAGCGTACCAATCACGCCTGGGAAGTGACGCCATATATTGACTCTGCGCTTCCAAAGCGGCCTTGAACCCGTGGAGCTCTCGAGCCATTAGCATGGTGACAAGATTTCGAGAGGTGAATGGAACAATGAGGAGATTTGTGGCAGCTGAGATTCCAAATCCGACGAAAAAGCTCTCCAGTAAATGAGTTACTGAAAGGTATTAATATGGGGCCTTTTTCTGCACTGGAAAGAAGACACAACCTAAGGATTCAGCTTCCTTCATAGTTGCAAATTGCGTTCCGTAGGTTGCCGTCACATTGATAAAAATTGAAAAAATAATGGAAGGCAGGAAATATTGAGGTCGATAGGCCCGGAATCTGTTCCAGTCGTTAATAGAGCGACGGGTGTTAACTTGCGATAACTGACGTGTTAGCTAACCATACGTCGAAAAAAAGCCAAACGCCCATATTAGCGCTGGCTGCTGCATTGTACGGACTAACAGCAGCACCAGCAACCGGACCATTAGAAGGTGTTTCTCCGTTGAGATGGGTCGTGTTTTCTCGAGCCTGAACCGCACACCACATCGCAAGTAGCGAGATTGCAGCTGCGAAACAAGTCAAAAGCTAGGGAAGCACTGCCGATTAGTTCATCATATTTCCATAGATGTATAATGGAGGCCCTACGCAGGTCACTATAAGATTCTGGCAAAATCGCGCCCGAGGAAGCACCGGAACGGTAAGGATGGACATTATTGGGATGAGATAGCCAATTGTCGAGAAATGTCTCGCAACGGAGTCGATCTGATATCTTTAGAGCATCAGCTTTTATCCCAAGTATATAGGAAGAAAATATACATAGCAATGCCAACGGTAGGCGCAACGGTTCCCCTTTAATTGAGCTGTTAGCACCATTTTGCAATAGGACGCATAGAATACCAGAAATTTCAGCACCTGCTAAGTCTTGAGCAGTTGTGGTTGCTGATACCTTTCGGCCCAGTCGAAGAGAACGGGTAACAGAGCAAACCAATATGGGATAACATACTTAATCATCAATAGCACAAGCGGAGCGTCAATTCCATATTTAGCTGCTATCTTCTTCCATCTCGACGACCCCTCTTGATGAGCAGTCGCGTGATTTTCAATCGACTCCTGGGGCATCTTTCAAAGTCGGAGTAAATAATTGGGAGCACTAGGACCTGGTACTGTATTTAGTCAGCTTACAGGCAGCTAATCCCCCCGAAGAATGCACCGAAATCCCTCCTTCCATGATACTCTCTCTGTGTTAACCCAGCACTCGGGAAGGGGCATACATGGATTTGATCCACCCGACAATGTTGGGAATTTACCCCAGTAATCTCTGTATGCCCACCAAAGGAACCGATCACCTAAGACACCTGCAGATAGATATGCAAGTTGAAGCAATCTCGAACATGTAAGTGTCAAGTATGTCGAAAGAGCTCCAATGAATACGGTAGGCAAGAATGGGTTGAACAGCAGCCGGATAGGCAGGATAGTTAAAAGTCAAAATGTGAAAATATGACCTCACCATGAATCTTATTATTTGAGGTTTATAAAATCTTATCGACCAAATTGTTCGCTGAGAGGAAAGCCAAGGGCTGAGCGGCGGAAGATCCATGGTTGACTGGCCATCCGCCCCTCAACCTAGAACCCCCACAATGGCCTTATTCCGAACACATAGATGGGGCAACTCAAATTTTGAAGTTTCATGCTGTCTGTTCTTCGCTGATACTCTCTGTATTGTTATTGTAACAATTACAATATTCATGCTTATCAATCGAGTGCTATATCACAGTCCAAACGCCTCAAGGCATCTATTAAGACAGCAACGGGGAGCTGCTTCGTGAGGCTGTGCGATCTGTTTGTAGTTCAGAGGAATGATCCTGATGAACAGTAAGCTATATTTATATGTGAATTCTAAGTTGATTGGAAATCAACCGTCCTTTTCATATAGACAAGGCAGGAATCATTTCCAATGTTGCGGCTTTTTTCCTGATCCACATCATCCGCATATCGTTATTTCCATTATTATTATCAAATCCTTCCGGCTTTTCACGATCTCGGGTCGTATGCAGCCCCCTAGCTAGTGTGCGTACGCCGTTGAATCTGTATCCAGGATATGTTCACCGTGACTTTGCCAATTGAATAGTACATTTCAGCACGCTTCGTATTTTCTACAGGGAAATATGGAAACGAGGGGCCATCGTACCGAGATACGAGACAGCCTCCAAAAAATTAAAATCCTTGACGGCGTTCAATTTATAACACAAAACGAGTGGAACTTCATTCACTACTTTGAGCAAAATATAGACTGAGGGGATAACCGAAAGCAAAGGCCCGACCTGCAGCAGTGACACATCTGCCTAATCGCCTCCACAATCTGATATGTCGAGATATGTAGAAGTAGGAAACACAAGAGACAAACGGTAAACCGGAAATCAGGAGGCTTAGGATTGAGATAAGTGCACGCGGACTGTTTTCACCTCTGTGTAGTTCTCAAGAGCATATGAACCCAGCTCCCGGCCTATTCCTGATTCTTTGAAGCCACCAAAGGGCATTTGGTAGTGGAGAGTGTTGTAGTTGTTAACCCACACGGTCCTGTTGCGAGCGGGTTATCAACAAAATCCGAGAGCTACTGATATATGAGGAAAACTCACCCAGCTTTGATAGCATTTGACACTCTGATGGCAGTATTGATGTTCGTGGTATGAACAGCCGCAGCTAGGCCTGCGATCAGTCGACATGGTCAGCTCAAGCTCCGATACAGTGGAAGGTCCTCTAGTTTGGGGGTCATTACCGTAGTTTGTGTCATTGGCCACGCGGATCGCTTCATCTTCATCACGGATTTTTTGTACTGTGCAGACAGGTCCAAATATCTCTTCTTTCACAATCGTCATGTTCTCATCAACATCGGCAAAAATCGTGGGTTGAATGTAGTATCCTTCCGCTCCATGCCGACCACCACCTGTGATGATATTGGCCCCTGCGCTTTTCCCATCGGCAATATAACTCATGATTCTATCATATTGCACTTGAGACACCTGAGGACCTTGGAAAGTGTCAGAGTTGAACGGATCGCCGACTTTGTTCTGCTCGGCTCGTTTCTTGAAAAGCTCCAAAAATCGGTCATAAATAGACTCGTGGACAAGAATTCGAGAGCCTGCACAGCAGCATTGCCCATGGTTGAAGAAGATCCCCATGTTCACCCATCCGATTGCCTCCTCCAGATTTGCATCGGGAAGAATTATATTCGGCGACTTCCCTCCAAGTTCAAGAGTCACCTTCTTCAAATTGCTATTAGCAGCCTGTCGCATGATTTGGCGGCCGACTAAAGTTGACCCGGTGAATGCAACTTTGTCGATATCCATATGGGCCGCAATTGCCGCGCCTGCATCTTTTCCAAATCCCGAGATAACGTTGACTACTCCAGGAGGGAAGCCGGCTTCTTTAATGAGGTTAGCAACATAGAGCGCTGAAAGTGGCGTTTGCTCCGCAGTTTTCAGAACAATCGTATTGCCCGTCGCGAGAGCAGGTCCAATCTTCCATGCAAACATGAGAAGGGGGAAGTTCCATGGGATGATTTGGCCGCAGACGCCGACCGGTTCATGGCGGGTATACGTCAGGCTGTTGGCGTCGGTATCGATTGTCTGACCATAGATCTTGTCAGCCCAGCCACCGTAGTAGCGTAAGCACCCGGCTGAAGCAGTGACATCCCCTTTTGCCATTGTCACACCCTTGCCATTATCAAGGGCTTCGATAGCAGCGACTATATCGATATCCCGTTCTAGGAAATCCGCGAGACGAGTGAGGAGGCGGCCACGCTCAGAGGGAGTGATCCGTTTCCACTCGCCCTCCAGCGCTTTACGGGCAGTTGTCACGGCAATATCCACGTCTTTTGCTGTGCCTTCGTGCACAGCTACAATCGGCTTCTCGTTATGAGGGTTGATTGTTTCAAAAGTTCTGCCTTCCACACCCTTGACAAATTCATTGTTGATGAACCTAATGTGGACTTGTGAGAAACGGTAACACCTCATGTTGGGTTTGCCTGACGGGAGCTTACAGTCCCAGGGGTTGTTCATATGTTACCAACGGGGTCTTGATTGTTTGAAACAGAGACATGATGGAAGAAGAGAAAATTGGACGGTAAATTTTCACCTGAGGTATGAATGAAGAATGTGGTACTGAAACATAAAGCGTCTCGGCTGGGGTTGGAACTGCTTTAAATATCAACGCTGAGATAGAATATCGGAGCCAAGACGACGGGAATCACCGGCAACCTCGAGCGGGGGAAGATGAGTGATGGCCGGTTCGGGGATTATTGCTGTTGAGCGACAGTGTGTATTGAGTTTCAGTCAGTGTGCAGCGAGAAGAGTTCTAATCGGAGAAATGGGTATGCTGACTTCGTTAGCCTGACAACAGCTTGACAATTACCTTGGGATCTGACGTCAGAGACCTTCAACAGCCTCTTGAAATGTCATAATAGGCAAAGCCGTGTTCTATCTTCAGATGTGAGGATTGCATAGATTGGCCATGCGGCTCCGCATGCGTGGGGAATCCCCGCAAAACCCCGCAAGAACGTTGCCCTGACTGAGAGCTTCCGCGTCACCTCTGGTCTACTTTGAGAGGCATTGGATGTAGTTGCTTTTTCACTCACCCGGTTGTCCGAAACATTTTGCCGCAATCGCACAAATTCCGAGAATTGAAGCGAGAGGCCCTGCCATTCTTCTCTTACCACAATGCCGTCCGCCAGCAGCGTCAACTATAAAGTCTTCATCAACACCCTTAAGAGTCTCACCAATTCATCCAACAGTATTACATTCGTCTCAACCGGCTTTCAACATACGAGTTTTACCGATTCCACACTTCGATCTACCTTATCAAAATGACCATTTCGGAGATGACCATTCCTGAAATGCAGTGGGCCCAAGTTGCCGAAAAGGTCGGAGGTCCACTTGTCTACAAGCAGATTCCCGTACCCAAGCCGGGTCCTGATCAGGTTCTGGTGAAGATTCGCTACTCCGGCGTATGCCATACCGATCTGCACGCGATGATGGGCCACTGGCCTATTCCAGTCAAGTTCCCACTGGTCGGTGGACACGAAGGTGCTGGAGTGGTCGTGGCCAAGGGCGCACTGGTTAATGGATTTGAAATCGGCGATCACGCTGGTATTAAGTGGATCAACGGATCTTGCTCTGAATGTGAATTCTGTCGGCAATCGGACGACCCCTTGTGTGCCAATGCACAGCTTTCAGGATATACTGTTGACGGCACTTTCCAGCAATATGCCGTCGGCAAGGCAACTCATGCCTCGAATATTCCGAAAAATGTTCCTCTTGATGCAGCTGCCCCGGTTCTTTGCGCTGGTATCACTGTTTATAAGGGTTTGAAGGAATCTGGGGTCCGGCCTGGTCAGACAGTGGCTATCGTCGGAGCTGGTGGTGGCCTTGGTTCCCTTGCGCAGCAGTACGCTAAGGCTATGGGTGTCAGGGTTATAGCTGTAGACGGAGGTGATGACAAGAAGGCTATGTGTGAACAGCTTGGCACCGAGGTATGAAGATGAAGAACCTAGACCCCGAATAAGCATGCATTCAAATCTAACTGGATTCAGACATATGTTGATTTCACTAAGTCGAAAGACTTGGTGGCCGACGTGAAAGCGGCGACTCCTGATGGTCTGGGGGCGCATGCCGTTATTTTGTTGGCGGTGTCTGAAAAGCCTTTCCAACAGGCTACGGAGTATGTTCGCTCCCGAGGGACAATCATCGCCATCGGTTTGCCTCCAGACGCATTCCTTAAGGCGCCGGTTCTGAATACAGTGGTCCGCATGATTAGTATCAAGGGCAGTTACGTTGGAAACCGACAGGATGGCGTGGAAGCTCTTGATTTCTTTGCTCGAGGATTGATCAAAGCGCCGTTCAAGCTAGCTCCTCTGAAGGATCTTCCAAAGATCTTCGATCTCATGGGTTCGTCATTCCCTGCTTTATTTGATGGCAAGATTACTGACCCAACACAGAGCAAGGCAAAATTGCTGGCCGCTATGTGCTTGAGATGCCAGAGTAGTTGGTCGATTATCGGGGCTTTGAGGAGAAATTATGCGAATGGAGTTGAGATATATTTCGGTGTCGAAATTTGCGAAGAGAATGCACATAGGTACAAATTGAAGTTCCAAAGTTGCTAAACCACCAAGTAATGTTGCACTTAAAAACTAACTTACTGTTGAAGCCAACCTCTTTATTACTGGCATTCAACATCAAAATTGAGGTTGATGTTTGTTTATCATTTATCCATTCCGAGCTGCTCCGCAACATTCTCGCATCGTGTTACGGCCATGGGCAAATTCTGTCCAAGATATGTGCATGTAGCTAGTCTCATCAGTCAAGATGTTTTCTTTGCCACCGTCAATATCATTACAAATCTGAGCTTTTGCTCTATGGATAAAACCTGGATCGATTTATCGGATAAGGCGGACTATCCCAAGGTTGCAAATTGGAGAAAGGGAACAAGCTCCCCTTATTGAATGTCAGGTCAACTTAATGCAAGGCTTATTTTTCCATAACTACACATTGGCATTGGAAAATGTAGCTTCATATTGTTAAAGGCAGAGACTCCTACCTCCCGTGTCAATAAGGACGGTAGTACTGAACATGGCTGAAAGCTCCTCTTCAAACGTAATCACTAGAGCAGCCAATTTTCTGATCCTCTTTTCCTCCTTTTGTAAGGCGCTCAAAAATAACCGAATTTACACCTTGCGTTTCTCCCAGCTATTCCCATTGGTTCTTTGCGCTCTTAATCCACTTCCAACCGAAGTATTGTACTTACCCAACCGCTACTAATAGCGAATCCATAGCTTGGTTCACTATCTTGGTGGGTTTTAATTCTATGCCCACCGTAACTATTCACACCAGTATATTGCGGCTCAAGACTCTCAGGCTCCAATTGCTCTGCTGGAACGTCTCGGAATTTATCCTCTGGGGTTTCGTGCGGCTCTTCCAAAATGTGGAGCAAACTTGGATCGATGAACTCAGGAAGGCCTTCTCCCAGGGGGTTCCCTTTACGGACATGTACCTCTGCTTCTAGAGTAGTCTCTTTCCTGTGCCGGATATTAGTGAGGTGATTCACACGGGGCGACTGGCGGATTACCGATAATGTGCGACATCGAAATCGTCCTTTTCGTGACGATCGGCTACTTGTAGAAACGGAACAGTGCAGTGCAAGTCAGCCGTGGTCCTCTCACTTGTAAAGTGACGAAGATATTTGGGTGATTTCCGATAGCCGTCCACACATGTAATTGGAATTCCACGCCTGATACATTCTTCACATGGCCGTTTATTTCCTATTATGCGCCGTCAGTGAATTGTCCTGGCTATAGGACGGTAAGGATGACTGGTAGAAAACCTAAGTTCTCCTAGGCTCACCGCATGTTTTGTGTCCTCGCTGACAATTTAAGCAGGACCTTTTAGCCTTTTCCCGGCGGCGGGACACCATATTTGACCTTGAGGTGCTCGGAGGTTGTGTCCTTTTGGCACAAAGAGCTGCACTATTGACATTCAAGGTGCATTGCATAGAGGACGACACTTCTTGGCTCGTCAAGCGACTATTGAATAGCAGATGTCTTTACGGAGTTGAGACACGAAACACGAAAGTGTCCCAAATAATACGTCGTGCTGCAAACGCCGAGGCCGGTATTTCCAAGGGAAATGCATGATTTCTCTTGGCATTCACTTATCGCAGTCGCCTTCCGCCCGCGACGCCACAAAATCAGCATCCCCGCATATTGTCTCCATGCGGATCCGCACGAAAATCGGAGCCGCATACCGCGAACCACACCGACCATCCAATATTAGTTCTACTGGGAAATGTGAAATGCATTGATCAATTTCAATACATCAAGTCTGGGTCGGCTAGTCGACAGGCGTACACTGTTTCTGTTACAATACCCCAGCGTTCCCCGCGTCTGAAGTATGCACTTGCTCCAGTTCCGTTCCGCCGCAGCGGACGAAGCAGGGCTTAGACTTGCACTAGCAAAATGTTACTGCTCGTTTCTATTACATTGAACTAACTATAGGAAAAATAATTGCTATAATCGTATTAAAAGGCAACTAGTCCACCCGATGAAGATCATAGAATTTTACTCTTAAGGTCTCGGTTCCCTCCATCGTCAATATATATCTCTTGCCTCCTAGGTTTATACCCCAGACAACACTAGCTCAAGAACAAAAATATGGACAGTTATACCAGACAAAACGGCGAAACAAAGGTCTCTTGCGAAAATAAGGAGAGCACAATGCAGGGTCTTACAGCCGTCCCTACATCGGTGACTCTGTCCGCTGAGCAATTTGAAAGGTTGTACTTGACTCCAATGACGCGCCATCAGCCTGCACTAGCCAAGCAAGTGGGAAACCCGACACCCCTGTGAGTCTCCATATAATTGTTCATAAAGTGCAAATTGAATTCTTATTAACCGCTTGCTCCGATCTCCAGAGCATTAGGAGGATTCGTTATCACCACTACACCGCTTTCGTGTTGCTTGATGGCCTGGAGAGGTGCCAGTGGGAATGGAGTCGCGCTCATGTAAGAGAGGGAACGAAATATTACTGATCGATTAATTGGTTGACGAGACTAGCGGCCCTATCGTGTTCCTTGGTGGTCTTTTATTGCTTATCACAAGTATTCTTGAGTTTGTACTCGGAAACACGTTCCCCTGCGTTGTATTTGGTACTATTGGTAAGACTCGCATCCCGGTGAGAGTATTATACTCTGATTTTGTTCTCTAATATCTCGATAGGAGGATTTTGGTTTGCATTTGCAGCTACAATGATCCCATCTTTCAATGCAGCCGGTTAGTTCATATGGCTCATTTCATTTGTCTAAATTATGATGTATCCTCACACATAGAAAGCTCCTTATTCCCCGACGGCCAACGATACAGCCGCCGGATTGTCTAGCACTGGCTTCTTGAATACCTACGGTGAGTGTCACATTCCCGAAAGTCCGGGCCGACAATATTGACCGCTGACACCAGCATTTCTGTTCATAACTATGGCTGTTCTAATGTTCATCTTTATGATCTGCGCAACACGCACCAATATTGTTTACACCCTCATTTTTCTATCGCTACTGATTGTTTTTCTTCTGTTGTCATCCGCATATTGGTTAATGGGTGAAGGAAATGCCGCCACGGGTGACCGATGCGTAAAGGTAATAACTAGTTCCTAGATCCGAGCATGCCAGGTACATAGAACGTCTACTGACTTCTGATTCCTTTTTTAGGGGGCCGGGGCTTCACTCTTTGTTGCTAGTCTGCTTGGCTTTTACTTACTTATTGTTCAGCTGTTCGAGGCCCTGGAATTCCCATTCCATTTGCCGGTTGGAGATTTAGGGATGCTTTGGACCATTACTCCACAAAAGTGAGTGGCGCTGCTGAAAGTAAGAGAATACTTTATACTAACTACAAACAAGGGGGGAGCGACACGATATCGAAGAATGTGCTGCCATTGGTCATAATTGATATCGCTTTAAACAAGGCATTCTTGTTACTGTCCGCTATATTATTGTGGAAAAGACAATATGGATGGATTCATTCAAGACTAGCAAAAATAAAAAATAAAAAAACAAAAACATACAACAGTAAGGATTCGCTAGTGGTCACCCACCTAACTACTAACTTACCGGCGTGTGGCTTAAGTACGGCTGAGCGGACGGGAAGCCCTGTTCTCCACACCCTGTGGTCGTATGTACTGGTTTTTCCATTAAGTTTTACTAATGTACAACTTTTCATCCTTATGGCCTGTAATAAAATGAAGCTCAGTTCCACTGTTCCACTGTTATCCAGTAGATCCTCCACATCCGAGACACCCCCACGCATGTCTAACCTACCAGTATTAGGAAAAGGTCGCGCTAATAATCTCTTCTTTTAATGTTCGAGTTTATCAGTTTATAGTGAAAACCCTGGATCGCTCCGGAAGAATCCCGCGCCGGGCTCAATCGGCTCTAGCGCGGAAATTCTCAACAAATATATTCGGCCCGCGCCAACGTCCCTTTTCTCCTTTTTCTTTTCTCTCCATCTACAGTTTACATTTCGATGTAAATCAATTGGGGCTCCACAATGTGGCTTGCTGAAGGTTACTCGATGGCTTCGGCCTTCATGGGTTTCTTTCCGTTCCCGGCCCTGGAGAGTAATGTCGCTTCTCTTTCCTAAACACTCTCTACGCTGGTGGTTCCCCCTCCGGGAAGGCCTAGGGTGTTGTCTGGTGAGAAGGCGTACAGACTATTTGTAACTTCTCGGCGTATTCTAGCGGTTATATAAAATCAATCGACCCGCTCTATTCATGCCACTTTTGGTTCCAGAACGTCTCTGTCTCAATTGATGCAGTCTTCGAGGCCTCTTCGTAAGCATGATTCTCAATATACCAGCTGCCTATACCTGGAGTGCTCGATAATAGCAAAGCAGGGCGACGCGTGATTCCGCCTGATTTGCTTGTTTGGGAAATGGGAGATGCGCTTCTCTCGCCCCTGGGGGGCGGGGCGGTGGCTGATTGGGGGCTACATCTGGGCATATACTCTCCAATGGCCCTCTTGTCTATTTTCCTCTTTGCGTCGCGCTAAAAGGCCATTTCGTGCGTTTTATGTTGATATCTCTCGCTACAGCTGAACGTCCAGGTCGTATGAGGGCGCTCATAAAGTTGGCCATACAGGATTTGTGACCTGAGTACGGGTAGGCAGACGTGAAAACATGTAGTCATATACTTCTTCCGACAAACAACCAACTTATCTACGATTTTGTCGTTAACGTTATTTCCCGCTCCTATACATTGTCTTTCCGTCAAAATTTTGATTTACGGGAAATTTGATGCATGATGGACCAAAACAACAAGGGCCATTCAGAGGAATTTTGTTATCACTCACCTGTGATAAAGTCCCTTAACCACCCACGTCAGTCCGAACGATTAAAGTTCCTGAAGGCCCTCACGTATTGGCGCAAATTCATATCCGATTACACAAGAACACGTACTGGCTGGTTTCCGATTAAATGGTTTTGCAGTGGCACCAGGAAAAAGAGATGTTCAGGTAGATGATTAAGACAAGCAAGTGATTAATGCATCCCATTCAATAGGAAGGGAATTAACGCGACTTCAATCATAATACTTCGCTACCACTCCACCAATAATGGGCTGCTCTCCAACTTCACTTCGTGCCGCACCTTTGTCGACTCCCTTGGCAACTCTAGCCTTCACCCATTCGCCAGCAGTAATGCCAACCGCACTTTGATCGGCCGCTTGATCATATCCCAAACGGTGCAGTACTTCACTCACCACCGGACGCAGCTCAAGATTATCCTCCGGTCGAACAAAGTACAAAACACCTAGACGGTCGATGTCCCTCTGATCTGGCGGGGGCGCGACGACTCGGTGTATGCTACTTTTCAGAAATCCATTGGTGAGGAACTGGAGCGAGTCGGCAAGATTCACCGTGATGCTCCCTGGGAAGGGCTTCACCCACTTCCAGTCGCCCTCAGGGGTACGAACCTGCAGCGCAGCAACTGGCTGTCGGAATAGCAAAGTCAGGCTGCCGAAGTCGGTGTGGCCTTTGGACCAGATACCGGCGGCCTTCTCATTCTCCTCCTCGCTCCGACGGTGGTACTTCATGTACCGCAGGTGACAGTCGCTCAGTTTATCGTACCGGTGCACCTTGAGGAAAAAGTTTTCGGGTAGCTCGAGGATGATAGCCAAGAGTATGAGGAGCTTGCGCACAACTTCTTCATGGATGTGGCGTGCAAAGCCCTCAATAATTGGACGGTTTTGGTTCACAATATCCGGCTGCGGACGCTCAAGGGCGGGAATGAATTTTGGAATATTGAAGATTTCCGTCTTGTCAAAGACTCCTGGACTAATTTCCTAATCGTGAGGTCAGAGGATCCTGTTTTCACACGGCGTTGTTGGTTTTCCGCTTACCCGAAGACCCATTGGCTTGTAGCCATTGTAGCCACCTTTCTCTAGCTCCGCGCGGAACTTCAGCTTCTCCTCTATTGGAAGCTTGAATATCTGTTCACCAATAGAAAACTGTTGGTCGACCTCTTCCTGTGACAAGCCGAAGTTGGTGATATAAAAGAAGCCTAAAACTATAAGCATTAAAAGCATTACAAGGTAACTCTGGCACTACTGACCGATATTTTGAATGGCGTTGAAAAGCTGTGTGGCTAAGAGCTGCTTACCACCAGGCTGGTCAAACTGAGATAGATCTAACGTGGCAAGGTCCGCCCAGTCCACTACATTCAATTAATTCGTTAATCATTACCAGTATATTTCAGGCTGTGTTTGCGCATTAGCGAACAATATATAAAACTTACAGTCGAAAGAGGTCTCCTGGACCTGGTGATAGGTTGGAATTCCACTGCCTGTCGCAGTTGGAGTTGGGGTTTGAGCCAACGCTGCCATGGCGAAATATCAGAAACAAATTCACAAGAGAAGATATTATAACAATTAAATTGAAGAAGACAGTCTTATTGTAGAGAAAATGTCTTGCATTAATTCGAATGTATGAGAGATGCGGGTTTTTATCAAAGCTTCAGTGCTGCTGGCTTGGCAGTAAACTCAGGATTGACAAATGATTGGCTTCAAAAGCCTACTCCAATCGGGCGATTTTTCGCTGCTCATAAAAAAACCCTCGTGGTTGACGTGCAAGCCCGTTTCGTGCTTTAGCGTATTTTTCGGCGTATCTCCCCTTCCGCAGTGTGGAGTTAATATCTCATCATGTTATCCTCCGTTTGCGTGATCGATAGCTGTAAGCACTGTCCAAATGACGACTTCACAGACTACCCCCTGCAAAATCACAGAAACGTGAATATAATTTTGCTCCCGGAAAAAAGCTATGGTAAAAAAAGAAAGAAGAAAAACCAAGTTTGCCTGCTGATCAACAGAGAGAGATGTATCCAGCATGCAGATTTAAGAGGCTCACCGCTGCTGGAAAGATTTAAATGAAGGCAACCCAGCGATAGTTAAATGGTATACGTATGTTCACTATGTTATAAGGTGTGATACCAATTGATCGTACTTTTCACACATGTCGCATGTCAAGGTGAAGGTTGAGATAAGCTTGTTTGTATATGTATCTGATAATGTAGTAACATCTAGGCCACAGTGTGCGCAATATATGTGGGATATGATACAATGTGTCTGAGGCAATGACCTTTTCACTTGGCATTAACTTCGATATTATTTTTCGGAAGGTTTCCGGACTATCCAAATAGAAATAGAGACCCGCATATCTCAGAATGAGTGCTGTATTCCAACAAGGTCTGTTAACAAGAATTTCTTAACACCTTGACCATGTCAGACAAAGCACCCGAGCAGGTTACATCCAAAGACTTTGGTAGGACAACCGCGACTGATCTTGTCTCGACCACTGACAGTGGCATCGATCATGAACTTCATTTTGTCAGACGTGGCGAGGCTCTCGCAGAAGCTTCATCGAGCCAGGAAAGTATCGATGGCTACGAACCGGATCTGATGAGTGGCAGGACACTGCTCACAGCACAAGAAGAGAAGAAGCTGCTGCGGAAAATTGACTGGCGATTGATGACGCTTTGCTCACTTATTTTCATGTTTAAGAATTTGGACGGCAATAATGTGCGTATTGTCAGTCATCTCCTCATGTCAGTATAATGTGACTTACCGCTTGACAGACATCCAATGCTCGAATCATGAACAAAGGAACAGACCAGAATATTATGACACAGCTCGGAATCACATCAAACGAGTACAATCTTGTCACTGTCCTCTATTATGTACGTTAACCCAGACTCGGTATGCCACACATTTATGCTAATAATGGACGTCCCAGGTCCCATATATTGTGTTAGAAGCACCTTCAAACCTACTACTCAAGAGATTTTCTCCCTCAAAGTGGCAGTCCAGGATTATGATCAGTTGGGGTATCGCTCTCATGTGCAATGCTGCCGTAAAAAATAAAGGAGGATTATACACAACACGATTCTTGCTGGGTCTGGTACGTTCTATGGGAGCAAGTGTCAAGATATCAAGCAGAATTCTAGGCATGATCTTAATTCCAGCCGTGATCTTTACTGACACCACTATAGGCCGAGGCTGGACAGTTCCCAGGTGTTATTCTCCAGATGACATATTGGTATCGACCAGATGAGATGTCCTTGCGACTGCTCTATTTTTGTAAGACACCAATACTTAGCTGTGCTACCTGGGATCCTACTAACACTGAATAAACAGATATTTGTGGAAACTTCTCAGGTATCTTCGGCGGTCTTCTTGCCTACGGGTTTGACACCGTGTCTGGCGCAGCAGGGCTTTCCGGATGGCAATGGTAGCCCATTAGTACAGCCCCTATACTTTGATTGATGCTAAACATGTCCAGGTTGTTTCTCACTGAGGGTATTGCGACCGTGATCTTTGGTGTTGCCATCGCCTTCCTGCTCCCTGACTGTAAGGACCCTTTTTTTCATGCATCCTTTTACGTGAGACCTCAATATTAATATGAGAAATTACAATTTAGTTCCTGAGACAGCGAAATGGTTGACTGAGAGAGAGAAGAAGTTCATCCAAGCTCGACTGCCAGCTAATGCTCCTCGCGCCAACGAGCAAAACTTCAAATTCCGCGAAGTCATCGAGTCGGTGAAGGATGTGAGATTGTGGTTATTTACATTGATTTGGGCTACCTTCACAGTTGGAACTAACGGTGTGACTTTCTACCAATCGACTGTGATCGCGAATCTTGGTTACACGTAAGTGCTATAGTTACCAGACCGTTGAAAGGGTAACGGTGACTTCAACGAGCGTGGCTAACTATGTCGCAGGACCGTTGCTCAAGCACAGCTCCTCAATATCCCAATCACAGTTTGTGGACTCTTATTCATTGCAGTCACAGGCATCGCAGCAGACCGCAGTCGTATACCCCGACCGTTGTACCCACTTTCTTTCCTTGTCGTGATCATAATCTGTTACGGCGTGTTTGTGGCATATCCGAGTACCGGCGCTGTATACGCCGTGACGCTGATTGGAAATGCCCTACATGCAGGCTGGTTTCCAGTGATGTGGTTCGTTGTTTCTAGCTTCACCGGCTCCGGGTCTTCATGCATAGCTGACAACATTGAAATAGGCCATGGCGCGTGCAAACCACTTCACGAGCCACGGGATCTGCGTTTTCTATCGGATTCGTGAACAGCTACGGCCAAATTGGAGGTGCCATCGGTCCGCAGTTGTTCAACAGCAAATACGCACCACACTATACAGTGCCTTTCTCCGTGGCCATGGGTCTAGTAGGTCTTTGCGCGATTTTGACATTGATAACATGGTGGGTAACTTGGGACACGGAGCGTGACACTAGACGCCTAAAGTTTGCCAAAATTGCGGCAGAAAAAAGGGGCGAGACGATTTTGGAAGATGTTGTGGATCATGACTTGAAGACTCAATGAGGTAGAGTGGGGGCTAGAGCCTTGCGATAGAGCTATTTTAACATACTTAAGCCCGTATATACTCCTTTTTTGTAACTATTACATGTAGTCAAGGCGATGTAACGTCAACTGTAATGCGGATTCGTCTTTAATAGCTGAACAATATATTATGGCGATGCTGCTCGTTTAGCTGAATTCCCATGTTGATATATTCATGTTTGTTCAGCCATCCAACAGTCACCTGAGTGTCCCTGATCCAGCTCTAACTGGGGAATTCGCGATCATTTTCCGCTCTTTCTCATTCGTTCATCTTTACTTTAACTATCCGAAATGGCCAAAAAAGGTCCGAGGGACCAATCAAATCACGCAATCACCACGACCGGATTAGAAACCATCCGAGTCCATAGAAACCGCCAATGTTGGGCGTTACTCATGTGACTTCTGATATTCGACATCCCTTTCGCATATTAGGAACACGAAACTTCTGACACTCTCGGCACTCGGCTGATATAGCCGCAAAGATGGACTCTGCTGAACCTCAACCGCCCGCACGCGCTTCCGGCGACCCCTACTTCGATTTGGGAACGTTGAGTCGCACAGTGACCACCAGTTCCCATGAGGCTCAGATATGGTTCGACCGAGCGCTCGTCTGGACATATTGCTTCAATCATGATGAAGCAATTACTTGCTACCGGCAGGCAATTGCGCACGATGAGAGCTGCGCAATGGCCTACTGGGGGATATCCTTCTGCTCCGGCTCCAACTACAACAAAACATGGGCATTGTTCGACGAAAAGGACCGGATAAATGCAATCCAGCAGTGTTATGTATTTTCGCAAGAGGCTCTGAAGCGGGTAAACCATGCATCGGATTGGGAGCAGGCACTCATCGAAGCTCTCGCAAAACGATACCCCAACGATGACCCGAGTAGGGATCTGGGCGCATGTAACAAAGCATACGCCGAGTCCATGAGAGATGTATACTTAACACTCGGTCGCAACGATTTTGACATTATCACACTCTTCGCTGATGCATTGATGAATTGCGCCCCACGAAAGCTTTACGACGCCCCCACGGGACTCCCGATAGCCTCGTCCCCTGTATTTGAAGTGAAAGATTTGCTTGAACAGGCTCTGAAAATGCCAGGCGTTGAACGGCATCCAGGTCCCGCGCACATGTACATCCACCTGATGGAAATGTCGGCAACCCCTGAGGCTGCTTTGCCTGCGGCAGAGATGATCCGCGAAATATTCCCCGACACCGGCCATACATTCCACATGCCAGCCCATATCGATGTTCTTGTGGGCGATTATCGTCGCGCAGTCGAATACAATTTAAAGGCGACTATCGCAGATGATAAATTCTTTCAACAGAATGGGGGCTTGACATTTTATAGCTACTATCGACTTCATGACTATCATTCTCTCATTTATGCCGCCATGCTAGGTGGGAAATCCAAGGCAGCCTTGTCGGCGACAGATCGAATGGAAGCCACTATCACAGAAGAAATTCTTCGGGTAGAAACGCCTGCGCTTGCAAACTGGATGGAGTTCTTTAAGGCCGTCAGAGTTCATGTACTCATTCGCTTTGGAATGTGGGAGGACCTCAAAAAGCTCGACCCCCTTGAGGACAAGCACTTGTATTGTGTCACAAATGTCATGAGACACTATGGAAAGGGCATCGCGTACGCCGCCACATCGCAGCTTGAAGAGGCCGACAAAGAGCGGGAGCTTTTCAAAGCTGCTTCCAAGCTTGTCCCCCCTACGCGCCTCGACTTCCCGAACAAAATCATTGACATCCTCAAGGTAGCATCTGCTATGCTGGATGGCGAAATCGAATACAGGCGAGGCAATTATGAGACAGCGTTTCGCAGCCTACGGGAAGCAATTACTTTGGAAGATGAACTCCCCTTTGCGGAGCCATGGGGATGGATGCTTCCAGCAAGACATGCATATGCAGCTCTCTCGTTGGAGCAGGGGAAGGTTGAACGGGCTGCACAAGCATATGCTGAAGATTTGGGACTTTTCCCAACGCCTAAACGTGCCCACCAACACCCGAATAACGTCTGGGCTCTCCATGGTTATCACGAGTGCCTTGAACTTTTGGGTCGTTACGCGGAGGCAACCATTATCAAGAAACAACTTGCTCTCGCTCTTGTGGAGGCGGATGTTGAAATCACATCTTCATGTTTCTGTAGGCTTGGGAATATTCCCTCACCTAGTGGAAAGCCTAAAGCGAATGGCTGTCATAGTGTGGCATCGAAGTGTCAGTGCTAGATTTAACGATACTTCGATTAATAGATATTGTTCGAAAGAGATCCATGCTTTAGATGGGGATTAGTTCCAGAATCATAGAATGAGTTCTCACGCCCTGCAAAATGCAGAAAATAGGCAGTAGCTCAAGCTATGCATTTCGGGAACACTTCTAGATAACAAGTCATAATATGGGTATCACACAACGGCTTCTGCAACATTCTTTATCATCCCCCGAACCTCCTCAACAATACGAAAGCATGGCACCAATTTCCGTGCCACGGGATCTTGCGGACAGAGGTCAAGCGGATCGTAGTTCAGCGCATCCTCTTTCTTCCGACAACCACCTTCGAGACCAGGGCAAGTTTCGTGTCCAACCAAATGACGATTGCGTTGCCGCAGAGCAAACTTTTCTCCCAGCGCTAGAAGTCGTTTCGCATCAGTCTGAAGGCCATTTATAACGAGCTCGTGGAACTTATCGCCGTTGATTTGTAAAATTGGGCCTGAAGGAAGCCCAAGCCCGGTTTCAAGACTGACGGCTTCAGTTTCATTCCTCATACTCAGCTCAGAACAATATTCCTTTAACCAGCGCAGGTATTTCTGGTAGCCGGCTGTTACTCCGAACATGAGTTGACCGACGAGGAGCACATTCTGAACGGTCAACCGAGGCGGCTTTGACACATCGTAGCAGATTAGACAGGTAAGTACCCTCTCTGCGAGAGACAATCCTGTGCGAAGCATGTGAATGGTATCGTGCGACATATTCGCGCGACTCAGGTTCCGGACTATGTCCGAAACCTCTTCGTCGCATTTACATGACTGTGAGAGCGACACCGGAGACGCGTATGCACCGAGGGCTATTGGTGGGATTTCAGGGTCACTTATTTCGTTCGGTTGTAGAGTCTGCCATGACTCAAATGGTGTTGAAAATATGTTGCCGTTCTCGAGCATCTCCCAATGGAAGGAATCAAATCCGCAGCTTCCGGACATCTCGTATGGTAATGATTGGAAGTCATCGGCACCCATTAGCAGGTTGACCCCTTGTTGGGGGGATACGGCTGGCCGAGGTATGTGAGGCGAGAGACTTGAGGAACTTGGTGATTCTGATCGCTGATCTCCATTCGGAGAATGGCCGTCTTGATGCTCCTGTCGCAAGCGCTTCCTCGGCCTTCCAGGGACTCCTTTGTCTTTGAATCTACAAGTCATTGACAAGCCTCTGCAACGAGAGCAGCCGCTCTTTTCGCCTGAGCATCTGAGCTTTCGAGCCCCTATCCATCATTAGCTATCTATCGCATACTTCGGGGAATAAACCTACGGCACGCTTCACAGGAGTTTCGCTGTCTGGAATTCATACTATGTTGAGAATGTCTGGAATATGTAACAAACCAGAGCTGATGTGGAATTCCGAGATCGCTCATTCTTTGCTGAGATGGCGAGCTTCGAGCGGGGTTGTACAGCTAGCGGGAGATGCCTCTTGGGTAAAACATTCATTGTGGCTTGTTGTCTATAGAAGAATCAGAATCACTGGATCTGCTTTTAGAAATAGGATAGCAGTTGTATAAATATCGCTCATGCTCTATAATGCTTATACGTCAAAAGTGAACACGTCATGCACAATGCCAGGAGTATAGAAGCAACATTTGGACTCCGCCAGCACATAGACAATGCCTCCCATTTGAAATTTCCCACGATCCTTTTTTTTAAGTCAACTGGGCGCATATTTCGAGATATACCAAGATATAACAAGAAGTGTCCAGTCCAAACCCCTAAATGCGAGCTGTCAGGTCTTGCGGGGCCACGACAAAAACGTCCGAATAGCCCCGAAAAAACATCCGAGTGGACATTGTGCAGCTTCACTTTGAAGCTCCTTGCCTATTCGCATTGTTCGATTTGAAATTCAGAATTCAAATCTCCAACCATTGAAAAGCATCCTATTCCGAGATCCGGACCTCTAAATGACGAGATATACAAACGCACGTGATGTGCGCAATGCCTGGGTGATGAAACAGGAAATTGCTCTCCTGGATGTTCGCGAAGAAGGCCCATATGCCGAGTCGCATCCTCTCTTCGCAGTGAGCGTGCCTGTATCTGAGATCGAGAGCAAGCTGCCAGCATTGGTTCCTCGACTGGCTGCCTCGATTGTTGTCTATGACAATGGCGAAGGCTATGATACGCGGGCTATATCCCGGATCTCAGCTATGGGGTATACGAATGTCTCCATCCTCGAAGGTGGGCTTTCTGCTTATGCTCCTGTTGGCGAGGTGTATCGCGATATCGGTGTGCCGTCCAAAGCGTTTGGCGAGCTTGTCGAATCCATCAATCACACTCCATCCGTTTCTGCGCGGGAGTTAAAAGAGGCTTTGGAGAGTCAAAACGACCTTGTTATTTTGGACGCCAGACGGTTGGAGGAGTTTAATACCATGAGCATCCCTGGTGGCCGGAGCTGTCCTGGAGGAGAACTGCTATATCGCTTCTTCGAAACCGTACCTTCTCCCAAAACAACAGTTGTGGTCAATTGTGCGGGTAGAACACGCAGTATCATTGGTGCGCAGTCTTTGATCAATGCCAAAGTCCCCAACAAGGTGGTTGCCCTCCGAAATGGGACTATCGGGTGGACGTTGGAGGGTTTCAAGCTGGACACCAACAAGACGGACCGGGCACCACAGCCTTCAGCTAAGGCATTGCGTAAGGCGGTTCGGCACGCGAACTGCTGGTTCCTTCAGCTTGACATTGTTAATATCGGTATGACCGAACTTGGTAATCTTGCTAGGTTGGGGGAAGACCGGACTGTATACCTGCTCGATGTCAGAGATCCCGAGGAGTATGCCCTTGGTCACCTGGACGGGTTCACTAATGCTCCTGGTGGTCAACTGGTACAGGCCACCGACGAATGGATTGGTGTTCGAGGAGCTCTCGTTATCGTGTACGATACGGATACTGTTCGAGCACGGATGACAGCCAGTTGGCTCTTTCAACTGGGATGGGAGGTGAATGTACTTTCTCTTCCAGACTCCCCGTATCCCAATGAGCTTGTAGTGCCAAGGGCACCTGCATTCCGTTTTTCGAAGCGTCATGGTATTACGGTCGATGGCCTTCGAAACCTTCAAGGAGCGACTGTGGTCGACCTTGCTCGCAGTCCTGCCTATCGCAAAGGTCATATCCCCGGCGCATGGTTTTCTTCTGGACCCGAACTCGTCCGAGATTTAAGACAGCTTAGGGGTGATGACCCTATTGTGCTCAGTTCTCCAGATGGCTTTGTTGCAGCCATGAACCTTGAGGATGCACGGAATTCGATCAGACAACGAGTCCTGTATTTGGAAGGAGGAACGGAGGCTTGGGCGGCCGCTGGCCATCCCCTGGAAACCGAGTCGCGGTGGCTTTCTGAACCAGTCGATGTCTATAAAAGACCATACGAGGGGACAGGCAACGCTCGCGAGAACATGCAAGGGTATCTTGACTGGGAGTACGGGCTTGTCGCTCAACTAGCAAACGACGGCGTCGCTGGTTTCCGCGTTGCGCGGGACCCGCGTCCGTCTGGTGGCTGTGATGATTGTCCTCGTTGTAATCAGTTCAATGAGTCTGATGAATCTGATTGATTGCTCTCACCAGTGAATGACAGAAACAGGATCCCATTTCAAGGGGTATCAGGCAGGCCATTCTATTTGGCCTTCAGGGTGCTCAACAAAAATGGAAGGAAATATGTATTTACACAGACACATACCAGTTAACGCTGTTTGATACTCGGTCCTTTCAACCAAAATGTGCTATCTGGCGGTTTGTTAACCGATGAGGAAAGAGAATCTGGAGCTAAACAAGTCAACTTAAGTATAGCCAATCATAATTGATACTATTACCACTTGCTTTTCACCTCTACTTCCATGTTTTACCTTTCTTTTTCTTTCCTTTGGAAATACAGAAGGTCGCTTCCGTTCGCCGGTTTTCCAAGCTAGCGCATCGGTTGATGGGAGGAGGCCTGGTGGCCTCAGCGTTCAAGATCCAGTGACGGAGGTAAATATATAGTCGCAACAATGCCAAATCTGAAGTCATAGCTGTCATAATTCATTAACCCTGAAAATACTCAGGTACTATGTGTATGTGTATCTACAAGCGTCGACTCAGACCCCACTGCAGCCAGTGACACCTCCAAGGGATACCCCGGACAAGAGAGACCCAAGCCAGGCGCATCATCCATTTCATACTCCTCACCCCGGCTATCTTCCGAGGCTTTTTCATCAAAGTCAAGAGCCACCCTCCCCGTTCCACCACCCTCACCCGAAGCATCGAATTGTCCATACCGGAACCGCCGTCCAAGTGCGTCAAGGTGATCGCGCTGTTCGGTTTCGCTCCAGTTCACAGTGCCCCGAATATCAGATAGCATGCGGCTGTGTGCAATCCATGGCATAAGAGAGCCGATCGAGCGAGGGACAGGCGGTCCGTTATAGTATTTGCGTCGTAGCCAGAAGACGGCTATGAGAACGGCGAAGTCGAAGGATAGAATGATTATCATGATGACAATTGTGGTGTCCGAGGGTGGGATTCCCCATACCGCTGCGGTGACGGTGGCATTCACTGGGTTTACGCGTGGTTCGCTTGGCAGAGCGTCAAGATACAGATCACGCCAAAGTGATGTATGCATGCTGAAAGTTGATTGGTAGACGAGCTTGACGGCGCCCAGCAGAGCGGTCTGGTCTTGAGATGCGAAGTGTAGTTTCGAGGTTTCGTATATTTCACTCGTTACGAGTGTTGATCCGTCGTGGTGTCGCGTGAATCCTTGCGTAAACGCCGCCAGACTATCTGACGCGTTTTGGAACATCAATCCTTTGGTTATCATGCTGCCAGATACTGGCGAATAAGATTTGATCAAACCCTCAGCGCCGAAATTGATATCAAAGTCTTGGATCTGGACCTCTGGCTCGCAGTGAAATGCGGTTGGGTTTGCAGAGAGAATTGTATCCATGGCAGTTGCTGCTCCATAGCTCACGAGCACGAAAGACTTCTGGCATGATAGACCTGAGTCTCTCGGTGCAATCAAAAAGATCGATTCATTGGATGAATGACGGTGATACCTAGTTGGTTGGAGTTCCACTTTGCAGTTCGTATCAACGGAACTCTGAGAGGGGGTATAGGTCCAGGTTCTATTTTCGGAAGCGATGTGTGAGTTGCTGGAAGAGATTTCCGCGCATTGAAGGTCGACGCCAATACCACGTGTTCGGGCTGTGTACATCTTCCAATCCAGGTACTCGTCGTCTTGTCGAATTTCAAAGGGAAAATAAGAGGTATTAGCGGTTGTCCACGCCAATATAGAATGGTTCGTGGACAAAGTATCTTCGATTAGGTTATAACCGTGAAAATCAACCCTGACGTCAGGGTTAAAGAAGTGAGAGTGGTTATATCGCGGCGTCAAGTCCGTCGTAAGCTCAGACCAGTGATCGACTGTTGGTTCGAACATTCCACTGCTGACAACGGTCAAGAAAAAATCTACCAAACAGACCGAGGACAGCAAGACTAAAACAGGAGGTGCGTTTGAGCGAAACTGTTTCCAGATCGTGATAGGTGTTTTGGAGCCATAGTTCACAGTCAGAGATTGTCGCGCTGAGGCCATGCCCTCTTTCAGTTGGACCCAAGGCTCCAAGTTACTCAAATGACGATGGACTGAGATGAAGAGGGAACTGATAATTGAGGCTATGACGGTGGGTCCGTATATCAAATATAGATAGAGGATTGTCGCCCCAGTGGTGGGTAACTCGAGCTTGTCCAGATGAATGAATTGGAAAGACGCTCCGAATGCAGCAAGAACCCCCGCTATTGTTATGCATTCGAGTAGGAACCACGGCGTCTTCACGAAATGAGGCTTCGCATTGGACCGTGGTCGCCGTGGTGGCCTTGCTGGACGTCGAGCAAGGCCTCGTAGCCGGGAAGTACGTGTATTCGAAGATGCAACATGCCCTTCGTTCGGGATAATGTCTATCTGCCTTCCCTCTGGTCCATCAGTCCATCGGCACCATAGTGATCGGGCAAATCGGCGGAGTTGTCGCGGGGTAGCCGTGTGAAAGTCGATATCGGACTTGATCACTGGGTTTGTCGAAGTAAACATGTCTGTGACGATGGCGCATTGCGCCGCGATAGAGCCGGGGTCGGCTTGCAGGAAATTGGGTCGATGTTGGTAAATGAAGGACATGAGAATGAGCAAGACACACGATGCCAAAAGAATGGATTCCGCGACTATGGCAGAATGAGAGCTCACGCGATAAACAATCCTACGGGTGGTTTGCTTTGCCTTGATCTCCATCGCGGAAGCTGTGGTGTTGAAGAATTTATTCATCGAGATAGTGAAATGTCGGTTCCAAAGGTGGCGAATCTCTTGCTGATAGTCGCCAACTGTCAAGGGCTTCAGCAGGCTGGTCAAGGTGCCATTCGTATCGATCGATCCAGTCCAGTCAGAACTAGAATGTTGGTACCCGGGACCCAACAACGGAAGATTTCCGCGTCGATATCTCGTAAGAAGGTTTTTTTCGAGGCCACTTATGCTGATTTCTGATGAGGTCATGTTGGTCTTCGTTTTAGAAATGTTTGTAATAGTGGCGACAGAGGTATTCACGGGGAGCGAGATCTCCGCCATGGCGTGCATATATGCGCTCCGACATCCAAAAACCGTAGCATTGGATAATAAACCCTCCGATGATGTAGTGTTTACATTGATAGCGAGGCCTATCAGCGAAAACGACCCGCACCCGGTGAGATTCAAGGTCGATGTTGAGTTGGTAGTATTTTCAGGATCAAGAGGCTCCCAGTGTCGCAGCTGGAACGAACCTTTGTTGTCTGGAAAGGAGCTATTCAGGGAAACATCCAATTTGCATTCGGAAGCATTTTCGAGTTGGACGTTGCGTATGTTCCAGGTCAAGGCTGCTCCTGAGCCATCCTTGGAAGCAGCATTGGTCGAGTTGGATATATTCCACGTATGAGGAACAATATTTTCCAACGTAACTTCCGTACAGCTCAAATTGGCCCAGTAAGCAAGTTGATTCAATTGCCAAGTCGAACGATATTCCCAATCTATTGGCCTCGAGATGGGTGGTGTGGCGTATTCGAGAGTTCGATAAAAGAAAAACGTGTCTGCATGAAACTGCGTTCGGTTTCCGGAATGATGTCTGTCTTCTGCTAGCCAATCATTCTGGTTTTCCAGGTTGACCAAACTGGGCCAGGTATAAACAGGCTGCAAGGAAACCATGTCATTCTCCTCCAGGGCCACAAGCCCTGACATTAGGGATGGCAGAACCATTCTAAGTATCATCGCAGTAGATGAGACGAAGACCACAATCCAATGACGGTTTCGCATCGCCGTTATCGGAGCCAAAATGCCGAAGAAATAGCAATAGTTGGTGAACAGCACTGTCCCGGGGGCTCCCTTCGGGTTGGCCAATTGAAAGTACGGCTCCAGCCGCAGCACGTCGAGGGAACATATGTTCCATAGTGTCATTGCTAGCACAGCGAATGCTGTTGGCAAGTACGTGGGGAGTCTTGTGGAGAAATTGGCCAGTTCCGTGTAAGACAAAAGATGAACGAGACCCTGGTGACGATTGGAATATTGACGAATAGCTTCGATCGCAATTGACATGGACAAGAAGAGAGCAGCAACAGTGAAAAGATATGGACGCCGCAACGAGGTTGGGACCCAATACTTCTTTTCTTGTGTTGGTGGAATGCTTGAATTCTCCGAGCCATCTCGTGGCTCGGTCATTTTGGCTTCCCCAGTGGACGAGTTAGGCCCAGAGATCGACAGGGCAACCCAGAAGCATCGTAATCGGTTTCTGAGTTATCTGTATATTAAACTCGGACTCAGACAAGTGACAACTCAGAAGAGGCGCGTTTCAAGTTTGCGTTGTATAAGGTTTGCAGGGTTTGCACACTTGGCGTGGCGCAGCTTCGGATAGGCCGAACACTCGAATCGCCCACGTTTCCGTCACAACCCCTTATAACCTGGGGCTCTCACGTCAAGACGCGGATATTGAGGCATTGACTTGCAGTTGTTTGCCTATGCTGACAGCTGACAGCCGATCTCGCTCGTCTTGGGGATCACGTGCCCGACTCGCCACCACTGTAGAAGGAGCTCAATGGAGCCTCGCCCTTGGTCGCCCGCTTTTTGCTGGGACGTGGGGCACTAATTTGTCTTGGAAAGGTGACTCTAATCTGGTATCTGAAACCTGACCTATTAATCAACTTCACGGTGAAGCAATTTACCATGTGGGGCGGCTAAACGGCTTTGGGACGATGCTTAGCCCCTTTTCCAGAGCCATACTGTACTACATACCCTGGCACTTCAAGCTAGACTAATGGTATAGCTTGATACATTCCGTAGTGCAATAGAGACTCGCATTTTCTTGTTTGCTTATTTCAAGAACAGCATAAAGTGTCATCTGTGGGTTAATTATTTCAAATGGCCGCATGATCGGGGACTCAAAAAGTAGACCGGGATTCGTACTAGCGCCGGAGTGAAGATGCAACTCGAAGCAAATTACTCTTCCACTCAGCCTCAGGAACATCGGAAGAATCTAAGCCCTTCATATAGACTTACGTGTGATATCTCACATGCTTTAACGTTATTTCATAAGTTAACTTTCTGTTGCTGACGTTATGCATAATGACTTTCCAATATTTTTCCACACCCGGTCGATTGATATCACTCACAGTTCGAACCAATCAAGCGCCAGTCAAACCTGCAGCATACTCCCTAAACAAAACCTCCAAACGTTTACCCTCCTCATCCGCAACCTCGCCATGAGTCTTAGCGCTGCCGATCGGATGATACGGGAATGGTCTGAGAACGGTTAACATCACTCACACAATATTATCTAGAAATCCACTCACCCGTATTCCGGCACGAAAATAAGTCTCGAATCCGGACCAGAGTCTTTGGCCCGAGCTTGGATAACTTGTTTCCAGATTCTCTCGAAGCATTCCCTCTCTTCTTTAAAGACGGGGTTGGTAGGCTCCGGGCATTGCGATGCTTGTGTTGTTCCGATTCGTGCGTGAATGTGGTACACCTAACCTGTTGTTAGCGTGCTTTATTGTCATTGCCTTGATGGTCTCCTACATGTGGAATGATTGCGTTCATCATAATCTTGTCGCCCTCACTGACATCTAGGACTCTCTCGCATCCAACCATCCAGTGGGAGAAATCGGCGTTAATTCGGAGCCTGTCGTGTCAGTTAGCAATTTGCTCCATCTATAAGTTAATGGTTGCAGTTAAGTATTCGCGTACTCTGGAACAGCTTCTAGGATGCACCGTGTGGCATAAGGCGTGAAAAGGGATCGGTTGCGGTGTGTTTCATGCCAGACTCGACCGGAGACTCCAAGCTCCTTGTCAATAACTAGCGTGCCCTTGTAGAATTTAATAGACTCTTCGACATCCCAAAGATCCCTAGATTGAGGTGTGAGAGATGCGACATCGATGCTTGAATAAAGTGCATACTCACTCTCCGGATTGGAAGTTCATGTACGAAGGCTTCAGTTGCTGGACCGATTGGAGGAGGTTTCGGTAGTTTGTCAGATGGTGGTCTGCTTTTGTGTTTGCCGGACGAGGACCGAGATATTGGAACCAGGACGAGTGAATCCTGTTCAGCGCTAATTAGTCACACTCTTCTTGTGTGACATCTTAAATTTAGATACTCACATCAACCCAATTTCAAGGCCAGTCTGGTCACAAATTTCCTTCAGTCGTGGGAAGTCTCTGCTTGGTTCCAGTGGGTGGATGTCTACTTCAACGCCACCTTTGTTAATCATGTATCGTTAGTTCAAAGTCCTACAGTAATGAACCCAGTCAGGATCTGGGTGCCAATTGACATACTGTATCCATGCGCCTTCAATTGCGGGAAAATCTGAGCCCAATTGTCCAAGTTAGACCCCGGGGCAATTCCCCAGGCGGAGCGAAAACGGTCAATTCTCATGGTTGCGTAGGGAATAGCGTGACTGAACAGCTGAGAATTGGTTTTAGAGCTAAGGTCGAACAGGATCATGGAAATACTATATATTTTTCATGATTGCTTGTATGCTTGCGCCATAGCTTCTCCGCATCGAAGATCAGTTCCGCTGCGACCGAAATAGGGAACGTTCCCCGTCCACGTCTGACCCACGCGTCGACAATTGGACATGCTTATTGGCTAACGTTTCGGGGGAAATATTCCTTAAAGAGCGCCTATGCCAAGCTTGATCATTTTGCGGCGAAGAATGCTCTTTAGGGATAGGCCCCCACGTAGTCTGCTGGAGATGCGGGGATGGGTGTTGTTCAACATCCCACTGGGCTCACATTATGCTTGTGACTTGTTAATGAAGGAGGGGTGAATGTGAATGATTTCGTCATGTCTTTGTTTGTGTCGGAGTTGTTCCGACCTTTTTCTGACACATTGTATGAGGGGGACTTGGCAGTTTCGCGTGCGCATCGCTGACCACCATTAACTTTAGCTTTCCAATATGTGCCTTTCAACTTCTACAATATGGTGGGCAGCTTCAGTCGCAGAGTCAAATCTTCCTAGTCGATGCTAGGTGTTCGTTTAGGCCAGTGAGCGTAGAGGCATGGGAGTCCTTGTATGTTTGGATATGTTTCGTATGATAATATTCCAGGCAAAGGCAATCCCAAATCAATTTTATATTTATGGCGGTATGTAACAATTTACTTATGGCAGATCAAAATCCACCGTTGGGGTGAATGATGACCTTCGTGTATCCATCTTCCCTTTTGTCGAACTTCTCATAGGCGGTCTCAGCATCAGCAAGTGTAATCTCGTGCGAAATCACGAAGCTGGGCTTGGCCTTGCCGGCAATGATCATATCCCGGAGGTATCGGTTATAAGCCTTCACATTGCACTGTCCAGTACCGAGGGATAAGCCCTGTGTATAAAATGTTAGTAATTTGACGAGATTGAAGTCGGACAAACAGGTACCTTTTCAAATAGCTTTCCGAAACTCAGACTAATCATTCCATTTGCAGTGGCAGCATCAGAAGCACCGGGATCACTGGAAGTGGGGAATATTGTCAGAACATTGCAGGGATATACGGTTGTGATAATGCCATACCTAGGAACGTAGAGTCCGGGAATGCCCATGCCTCCACAAGCTCTCGTCACGCGAATCATGTTTTCAAGAACAATGTTCGCCTTCTCGGCAGATCCGTTGGAGTCGACAGCCTGGTATCCAACAGCATCCACCGATCGATCAACCATTCCCCCGTTGTGAGCGATGATCTGGTCGACGGCGTCTCCTTTTGTGAAATCGATGGGAATAGCACCAATGTTCTTAGCTGCATCCAGCCGTTCGGCCACACGATCGACGACGTAGATGTTGGATGCTCCCCTCAACGCAGCCGAGTAAGCTGCCATGAGTCCGACTGGTCCAGCTCCAAAGACTGCGATACTCTCTCCTGCTTGAAAGCCAGAGATTTCGACACCGTGCCAGCCTATAGAATGTATATTAGAGGGAGATCAGCTGAAATATAATGGTGGGCTCATGCGTACCGGTGGGGAAGATATCTAAGAAAGTTGTTAGTATAAAGAACTCGAAGCGGTAGCGCGCAAGAGAAGTCGGTACTCACCTGCAAGAAGAACAAAGTCGGCCTCGTGCTCCTTACCCGGAGGTAGCTTGAGGGCATTGAAGTCTGCATAAGGAACTCGAATGTATTGTGCTTGTCCTGTAACAAAGGTCAGTTCAGCATTCGAGGCGCATCGTTCGAAGTTTGTCGTAAGCGCATACCTCCTCGGTAAGGACCCATCGCGACATAACCTGCGAATGTTTAGCTTAGGAACACACCATTATATCCACATTTCCTACCGTAAGCACCGCCTGCAAAGCCAGGGTTCACACCAGTACAGAAAGCGGTTCTTCCCTCCTCGCAGTTGCGACACCGACCATCGGCGACGTTGAAGGGCATAACAACGCGATCACCTTTCTTCAACAACGTCACACCTTCACCCAATTCCTCAACAATTCCCATGTTCTCGTGGCCTGTCTCCTGTTCAGTATTTCTTCTCGTGGCCCTTCGGCTTAACCAGATCTTACCGAAAGTGATACCTGGCTCAGCAGCTGTTCGTCCTTCGTACATGCTATTGCTCGGTTAATTTCACGCGACATGATCATATTATTCTCGTGCAGTGACAATGCTTACTGCAAGTCTGAGCCACAAATCGCAGCCTCAAATTCAAGTTAGTTTATTTCGCTTCTCAATTTCAGCTTGGTGGAGGACTGACAGTGGTAACCTTGACAATAATATCGTCAGGATGTTCCATCTTCGGCTTCTCAACATCTTCTACCCGCACCTGGTAAGGTCCGAGGTAGTTCAGTGCCTTCATAGTAGTAGCGGTAGCCATGGTGTATGAATTTGGATATATGATGACAATTAGATTTCAGCGGATGTCAGCGGGGCACTGGTGTATTTGTAGAAAATTGGCCCAACCCTGTCTCGCCCTTGCTCCATTGGATCCAGAGCCATTGACGCGCTCAAATCAACTCAAAGCACTGTAATTCTGCCCCTCGCGGAGCATAGCAAAGGTCAAATTGAGGGGGAGCTGCATGATCCCCCGCATCCGCTCGCGGGGAATATTGCTCTTTGTAGCTTCAGTCGCCGCACTTACCGAAATAAGACGGTGGAGTCGGAACTTATTACTTCATATTTGGCAGCTTCTACCGATGGCCTCTGGTTCGGCTTCTGGTTCGGTCATTGTCCTTCAATGTGGGAAATACTATGCCGATTGACCGCTTGTGGCTTGCAGATTGAGCCTCAGGCACCAACACCTGTATTTTCCTTGATTTGAGAGTATGTCAGAGTTGTTGAAGAGAACCTCCCTTGAGGCGATTGAAACCTACTCTTAACATTTAACTCTCAGTATCCCGCTGGTTTCCGTTAGAGAAACACACTAATTTAAGTCTAGGCCTGACAAGAGCAGTTCTGCCAGTGCGCTTATAATATAAGTAACAAGCACCTTGAATTGTTTTTTTACACATAGAAATAAGCTTATTTATTACTAACTGTTGATTGGCCCCGTGGCAGTAATTAAGCTATAGTGAAGAAAACAGCGTAGAAATAGCTTGCCATAACTCTAAGGAGAAGCTGCGCTAACATAAGCCTCGTCGGACCCGCACCGAACAAAAGCATCTTGGATCTCATACGTAGTACAAGCTTGTCTAGACCGTGTGCTGCACAAGACGCAGGTTCTATCAGAGTAGCCTCGACATCGGTCAAGTTCTTGAACTTGAACACAAGATCCGCAGGATATTTGGCATATTATGCAAAGACCTCCATCAACCACAACACCATGGGCAATGAAATTCTCACAGAACAGCACCTTGCGCTGACGGCAGTAGTGGCAGTGACCACATAGCTCGGAGTTGTCGGCAACAACGCGATTCCCTCCTGTGAAGTCTTGAATTGTATTACCAAATGCCGCAACTACACCAGCAGTCTCGTGGCCAGGTACGAGAGGAAACTGTACAGTTCTAGTGAAAATTGATTCTGCGGTTGTGTATCTATCACATATACCTGATTACCAAATTCACCATCATGGATATGAAGGTCTGTACCGCAAACACCACTGGCCACTGTCAAAGACGTGCCAACCTTTCTTCCTTTCTTTTTTTTTCTGTGACATACTAATACAACATGGCCACGAAGTTCTGGGAGAGGCTTCTCAAAAATACTAAATTTCCAAGCCTCAGCGTACTCTTCATGCTCACAAGTTAGGCCAGATACCGTCAAATGATGACCCAGAAACTACCACTCACCTAGTGCCCGTATGGATGTGGAAGATCAAAAGACCTCATGTTTCCTGGGAAATAAAATGGAAGTTAGGGGGGTTTCTCTTTTCACAGAGAAGCTTCGGTTTATTTGAAGAGGACGAATGGCAGATTTATGGGATTATCTCATTAATTACTGGGGAGAGGTAGGTTGTTGTCCTTCCTCTTTGGTAGCGCCCACGAGACGAGGCTGCGCGGAACGTCCCCGTCCCGTGGTCCTTTTGTGGGGAATCATCCCGGAACCCTAACAGCCCTTCTCTTTGGTTCCGGCATTCGCTCTTTATCGTGGGTTGAAACATAGTATTACATCAGTGATCCTCGTGGTTAAATCTGAGGGTTGTATGAATAAGAGTGCCGCATGTTCCTTGAGCAAATTGATGGAATCTCAATTGTTCACTCATTTAGACAGCCTTATTGGGGAAGTATCTTACTTACTGTGAATTATCAGTTAAGTACAATGTGAGAGTATAGAATGAGAGATATAAGGAGTAAGAGTGGAAAAATCAAACTTTATCTAACAAGATTGACCGGTTCCTTTCATTTCAGGATAACCCCTGCCCATGCGATCAAATCAGGCTTTAAGTATCTGCAATAGTTTCCAAGTGCTGGGGGGGCTCCTCCAGCCCGCCACCTTCTTTCGCACGAATAACATGCTCATCCCGACGAATATATCGCTCAGGCCGCTTGCTGGAAATTGCATCCTTGTCAAGGCACGCCAGAAGAGGGGGGCTTCCACGATAATACTCATCCATATCCTCCAAAGTGCGACCTGCTGTCTCCGGATAAAACACATAGATCACAGGCACCATGGCTGCATTCAAAGCAACCCAAATTATATAAAAGCGCCAGCCAAGGTTCTGGAGACCAATGGGCGTTATCTCCACCACCATGAAATTGAAAATCCAATTTGTAGCTGCTCCCAGAGCGGCTCCTTTGGTCCGCATTGTGAGCGAGTTGATTTCGGTTGGATACACTAGATAGTCCGTTAGTATTCTCACAGGAACAACTCAGAAGCTCCCAAACTTACACCATGGCACTCCCTGCATGCCGATTCCAAAGAACACATAATACAAGAAGAAAAACGCCACGGCTGCCGAGGCCACTTCATGTCGATGTGGGTAATCTGGCATTTCATTATACCGAATAAGAGCCGTAATGAAAATGTAGCAGAAACACTGGCCCGCGGCGCCGAACATCAGAAGCATCCGCCGACCCCATCGCTCGACATTTGGAATGCCGATCATGGAAAAGCACAGGTACTGAACGCTGTTACAAGCTGTGAGAAGTCTTGCCAATGATCCACTCAAGCCCACAGACTTGGTCAATACTGTTGGCAAGTAGTAAGAAGTGACGTTGATACCGGAAAATTGCTGCATGGCCTGGGCTCCCATTCCGAGAAGAAGCCGACGAATCGTGTTTGTGCCTGCCTTTTCATGGCCCTTCCCACGTATAATATCACTGAAACTCACGCTGTTTGCTCTTTCATACTCGACACTGTATTGGATATCGCTTGATTGAAGCTGGACAAAGGGGTCGTCACTACCCTTATCTTCGAGGTCTGCAATGATTTGAATAGCTTCAACGGAGCGATCGTGGGCCATAAGCCATCTTTGCCGGAATGAGCGAGAGATCTAAAAACATGGGGGGTCCTCAATCGTACCTCGGAGACTCGGGCAGCCATGGAACCGTGCAGAATAATATTATAATGAAGACGAACTGAAATGACAAAGGGAAGCGCCATGACACCGGACCATTGGCAAACGAAAGACCGTAGTTTAGCCAGTTGGCTAACGAAAAGCCGACAAGTACGAGGACGTTCTCGAGGATGACAAGCTTTCCTCGCCATTCGACTTTAGATGTTTCAACCTGCCAGATGGGGGCAGTAGAAGTGTTTAGACCTAAATAGAAGAGGAAAATTAGTACTCAGGGTCTGAAACGTCTCTCATGTTGGCGATACCGTTGCCGATTCCAGCAATCACTCGACCGGTCATCATTTGGCCCAGGCTGTAGGAAGAAGCCTGAAGAAGAGCACCGATAGACATGACAGTAGTTCCTAGTAGAACAGTGTTTCTGCGGCCCAATCGCTCTCCTAGCCAGTATGCAGATATCGATCCCAAAAAACACCCAACATCGTAGATGGCAGTAACCGTGCCGAGTAACGTAGTTTTACTTGGCCCTTCAAGGTCATGCAAGCGAAGGAAATCGTGCGAAATCACAACGCCGCTGAAGACTCCCTAGTGAAGGATTAGGTCCTGCACTTCCTGAAGCTCACTTTCCACATACCTGATCATATCCATAGAGGGTCATGTCAGCGCCACAGGCCAACGTGATCCAGAATGTGAGCCATCCTCCTCGAAGGCCGAAATATGGTTTCTTGGAATCAATCATCTTGAATGGAGTGTTACAAAATTCCACCATTTCCTGCACCAGCCTAAGTGCTATGGGCAGTATTTATTCCCCGCATCATTTCCCCAGAACCTGTGCCAGGATCCGGGGAAGTAGGGCGTCATCCTCGTATGAGGCATCGACATGGCACAACCACCCCCGAGACGGTCAGGTTTGCTTGGCTGCAGGTTTGAAGACCGCCAATAAACCTTGTGCTTGTTCATGAAACGCTTCATGCGGACTTTTGAATGCGGGGTTAGTGCGCGACTATCTTACGGTTTCCACCATCCCAAATTAGGAAGGGATATTTGCGTGTCCGCGAGGCGAGGGCAACTTTCAAAAAAGACCGTGACTCTGAAGTCTGAGAAAGCTCTTGCGATTTAGCCTCACTGTGACGAGAGAATCAATTCATTAACTTCCACGAAGGGATCAACAGGTATAATTTTTCGCGCAGCTTCACCATAGGGCTTAATGTGATTCAAACACTCACGTTTCGCGCCCAGAGAAATGGAACTTATACAACTAAGCCAACAAATGGAGGATAAAGTATTCGTGCACTCCTTTTACAGTCATTAACCCGAAGAGGGCCACTGCTTTAGGCAGGCTATTTACAGATACGTGAACTTTGGAATGAATTGCTGTACAGAAATAGCGCACATGAGGTTGGTGGAAAGGGCTGATGCTCATTTTATTTCACAAGGTCACCTGCATTCCTGCTGTCTGAGTATGGCCTCCTCGAGAATTATGAACCAAGGCATGGGGATATTGCAGCCTATCACATAGAGAATTATATGAAAATTCATAGGCGAAGTCCGTGAAAAAGGATGATGAATACAGTAAGGCATGGCTGAGGCTAAAGCCTGTCCAGGCACCACACGCACGACGTGTCATGACAGATAGAGTGGGCGAAACCCAATCCACATTACTTAGGACCAAATATGTTCCCACCGAGAAACAGGCAGCTGGCGGTCTCAGCAAGCCTTTGGGTCCTTTTGGCCTTCACCAACTCCTGTAGTCTCCTAGGAATCCAAGCGCGGAGACTCAGAAATAGAGTGTCTATTAGCGCTGGCGCGTTTCTACATCTTTCGCTTAGAGTATCTGAAAGAGATTTTACTGATTCCTTACTGCTGTGCCATTGCTACGGATCGATCCTGAGGGAAAGGTTATGATTATGTTGTGATGTCAGCTACGTTTGAGGTTTTATGCCTCGAAATGTTAAGCTCTCATTTCTCGATCTTTTCGGTGATCGCACGCTTTGGTAGACGCAATGTAGCCGGCAAAACCAAGTCCATTTCCTCGCCAAAAGTTTGTTTCCCGCATAAATATACTAAAGAATGCTTCTATCCTAGGAGCAAAATCAAAACATCTCGCTCACTGACCTAGGGCTTTTCACATGCAACGCTTTGTAAATTGTATCGACCAACAATATATAGTAAATGCAGATCATTCTATATATTGATCTCCTACTAGTGATAGGACCTCGAGACCCTATCACGATCTATCACTTTTAACTCAAAATTCGTCCTTTTTCCTAGAGAATTGAACTGCACGGCTGAAAAGGAACTAGAAGACCTACAATTACAGTCTGTCTTCGGGAAGGAGTTTTCAGCGGTAAATTTCTTAAAGTACATAAAGAGGGGCGGGGCGATGCGGATGTTTCTATACCAAACGGTGGGCCAGAAGTCCCAATTTTACCATGGAAAAGGAAATTGTTCTTGAATACGAAACTTGAATTCCTTAACGAATGTGTTGCTAGAACTAGGGTGACTGCCCACGTAAAACTTTCATCCGTTTTATATTCTTACCCACAAGAATGGCTAGCAGCTTGTGAGTCATGATAGCAATATGCCTTCACGATGAGAATAAGATCACCCTATTCATCCGGCTGCCCGGATGATTGACCTCCCTTTCGGCCTGCTTCCTTGGCTCTCTCGTCTCCGGGCTGGAAGCTTCCACTTGAGGCGTGACCGCCCTCCGAGGCGATGTTCCTCTTAAACAAGTGTCAGCTGTAGTATGTCATAATATGAACGCTTTTACTAACCTGCTTGTTGGGATCCATCGAAGCAAATCCGCCCTGGTGGCTAGACTGCCCACCCTTCCGAGCAATATTCTCGACCTCCTCCTGAGGTCGGTTGGCGAAGTTACCAGGGTTGGGGTTATCCGACATGGTGATATGTAGAAAGTATGTAGAGTATGTAGAGTAGTGTAGAGTAGTGTAGAGTAGTAAAGAGTATGGAGCGTTATGTGATTGACTTGATTAAATTGGAATACTGCCGGGAAGATTCACTGCGTATTTATGTGCGACGCCAAGCTCGACCTGTTTCATGAGTAAGTCTTACTGAAGCCCCCTTGACGTCGACTTGATGTCTTCGCCAAAATATCAGTGAATTCATAATGACCATTCTCTGACAAGCTGCAGAGCAGTATGATCAGCTCTTATTGAGGCAATATCAGTGCCAAGTTTGCTGATCTCGTGTTTATGCTCTAGACCAACGGCTCTTCCCGTGTAGAACCATTACGTCACTCTGACTTTTATGCAGTTCGTGCTGAAGCTTTCCATAGGCCGACCGGTGCGGGAAAAAAGGAAAGGCAGAAAAATAATCTTGGAATAAGGAGGCAAAATACGCATGAATATTGCGACTAAACTAGTTTTCTGTTGTTATTTCCCGATAATTCATAGGCCGACATTCACGGCCCGTCCACCCATGTGGGCTGGTGAAAGTGGTCAATGGCCCAATGTGGGGCCCGGCGGGCTTCATAGACCATGGCATGGCTGTGCGCCACTATTAGGTGATCAAGATCTGTGAGCAGAAAGGACAAATCGGTCCATATCGGTATGTCTTTTCGCGGAGGCCGGTGATCATTATTGCACTAATGGCTAGCAGATTGTGAATCGACCGAAGCACTAGCCTAGGGACAAGAGTGGATACGATATCTAAAGCCTGCTTGCCTATCAGATGTGGAACCCCGTTTCTAAAGCCCTCCGTTTCCCATGGCCGATACGGAGTGCAGCTGTTGAAAGCTCCTTCACGGTCCCAGTAGAAGTTGCCTCCGAAAATTGACAGGCACCCAGCCCCCAGTCTCTTCGGCGTGGAGCATGAATATCTATATGAAATGCTGGTAAGCCTGGGAGTATATGTAGTGTATGTAGTTTGCATGTATACTCCATAGTTTCGTTGACGTATATGTGCACATGTATTTTTAGGTCGTATCGCCGCCCTCCGTCAATTTTCATGACTATATGTCGGTAGCAGAAGCCATCGGTAGAGGTGCCACTTATTACATTGACCTCTCCAGAAGCTTTGCGCTAGCACGCCAGGTTTCTAGTGGTTTGTCAACCTTACTTAACTACTGGTCCTATTTAGAGCAAATCAAGTTCTCACCGCTGCATAACGTCCATGACCATTCCGTACGAAGTATGAAGCAATAGTGACAATAGATAAAGACACGTTATAACATTTACGTAGCCGATCCACGGTACAAGTAACCCTACGAGTTGAAGATCAATCTTAACCAGGACCACTGGGCGGCAATATGTTAATCGCCACCCAAAGCAAAGAAGTTAATGAGAGTGACTGCTAAAGGTTGGTGCCATTTGCTAATAACAAATAACAGGTCCTATGTTATGGCCTTTTAGCCAATTTTGCCAAGATTTCACACTGTGATCTTTTTAATTTCAATAACATTCCACGAATCACACGTCCCACTCGGTAAGCTGATCTTAATACTGCCTCTAGATTTCCTTAGAACCATAATTCTCTACGAGGATCCAGTAAAGCACAAATTTGAGCTTTTAATGTTATTTGTTCGGTTTTTTTTTTTTAAAAAAAGCAAAGGCAATTCGGGCTTTGCTGTCCAGTAAAGACTGATAGAAAAGGAACGATTGCGAATCATTCTTCGGCCGGCAAATCATCCTCCTCTGGTCCCTCATTGTACTTGTTGGATGTTTGAGGCTTTGCATGGCGGAGGCGGTCTCCCCTCAAGATGTTGGACTTATCGATTGCCTCGTTTTCGTCCTCCTCTATGTTTTGTTAACGGCCTAATACTAGAATATTGATGAATAATAACCTAGACTTACCAAGCTGCTGATCAGAATTAGAGTATGGAGGTTGAATGGGATCTTCATATCGCTCATTGTCTCCCTGGACGGGAACCTGACCTTTCAGGTTTGAGCGATTCTCTTTATATGAGTTATCTGTGAAAGTTCCGGTCACAGGCGAAGCATCATTCTTCCTCTCATAATCATCTTCTGCAATTCTTTCGGCACGGTTCGACATTTCGATCTGAGTGTAGTAATTTGTGAATATGGGTAAAGAGTTTCAAGTCGTGTTGCTATGAAGGGGGGAGACGAGTCCGGTATATATACCCGCTGGAAGTCATCCCAGACTTGTTATTCGGATAAGTCATACATAGTCAAGCTTGGACGCGCTACTTGTGTATCACTTTTCTGACGCAAGAAGTGCGTAATCAAAGCTGGTGGCAACCACGTATTGTGACGACCGGTTATTCAAGATATTGGTCTAGAACTGAGCTCGACATGTGAAGTCATAAGCACGAGCTATCGAGGAATGCAAGGGAAAAAAAAGATTGCACCTAGGTATCATCATACCATTGTGCTTCAATGTCCAGACATATGTCATATAGGTAGGCTCTTATTTGAAGCTATTTATAAATGTAAGTTTAACATCGTACCTTCTATCAGGTTGGCATCCTGTAGCCAAGTTAAAAGAGTGAGACACAATAGAATTCAATTAATTACTAGACCTCAATGGAGAATCCATATTTAAGATATCTTTACCTAAGGTTTTAGAAACATGAGCACATCGGTCAGGAATTGGGAGTAATTATGACGACAAGGAGGAGGTTCGATTGTACGTTTCACGACATCATGGATGCTATGGCTTGAAGGCCATAACCAATGCATGATTCGGTGTGGTATCCGTTATAGTTGGTCTGCGAGGTATGACAAATTGCGAGTGCATAAAATCGGTACGAATCGAAAGCCGGCTAGAAAGCCACAAACTGATATATCAAGACGTGCTATTTGGTCGCTGTAATTTAAGGCCGTATTGAGGATTCTACTTGGTCCCTATCCCCTCTACCCTATCATATCTATACGTCCCAGTAGTTCAATATCCAGTCCTAGAGCAAACAACGTCGAAGACTATTGAGAAACCTCATACAGCCGAGTTTAGGCAGGCAATAGAGGTGGCAAAAAGGGCAAATGACTTGGATGTATTGCTTAGCGGTTAATACTTAATGGTGAATCTTCCTACATTGACTTTCGTTAAGCGTGGTTGAGTCAGAAATAGGATCATAATCCATACCGGCCTTATCAGAGATTCTATGCGCTGTGAAATGGCGAGAAAATCCAACAAAGCGTGCGATAAACTGCCGCTCCCTTTACGAAAACTCGAGAGCCGAAAAGTGTAATAAATGCCAGCTTACAGAAGATTACCTTTCCGCTGAATTACTCGCACCTTGCTACTTTTCGATCACCGAGTCAAGACAAGCACGCCTGAGAGCACACTAACCGGCACAAATGTTCGTAGAATGATCTGGTCAACACCTAAGCGCTATACATACAAATCTATTGCTGGTTTTCCTGATTAGAGCGAGAAACCAGCTGAGAAAACTCATCACACCTCTCCCTCTGCCTGACTTAATCTCACCAGCCAAGGGATTCAGGTTGTGATAAAGTTTGGCACCTGGGGCGCCGAGGGAGCAGCTGTCCAGCTGGGATAGGCGCTACAGAAACCCAGCCGATACAATCATCTAGCTTATTATGATAAATTCGCCGCCACCGAACGAACCTTAGTCACCATCCCAGAGGGCTGTATTAACAAGTGTATTTTGTTCCTTGTTATGGTGACGTCATTTTCACGCAGGATTTATATAGTAGCCAAAGCCCTGCGGTGCTGTATTTCTGTACAATACATACCCTCAATAATCGAATACGATGCAGCACATTTCCATTGATCCAAGGAAGAAGCATGCTCCAACCCGTGACATGCTAGACCCGACTTTCTCTACTCAACTTCCTCCAGCCAAAGAGATCAAGGTTCATCCATCCAACGCAGGCGAGGAGAATGCTTCTCTTTTCTTCGTAGGGACCGCTACAACTATTATGTATGTTGAGAGAAATTTTAAAAAAAAAACCCGTGGCAGAAGCTGATAGATACAGCGAATGGGCGGGTATCCGGTTGATGACTGATGTCAGCTCTTTATACGATTTGTAACGCTCACCGACTGACATTGTTAGCCTAATTTCCTCCACGCGGGCGACCATGTCCATCTCGGACCAGGTGTGACGAGTGAGCGCCTAACCAATCCAGCTGTCGACCTCCACGACCTCCCTCGAATCGACCTAATACTTCTCTCCCACTATCATGAGTGAGCCTCTATATAGCTGATTTGATAGAGGCCCAAGATTAATTGTGTCAGGGATCACTTTGATAGGGAGGTTGAGGCCTCGTTGAGGCGAGATCTTCCCATTATCACCACGCCACATGCAAAAGCGCACCTCGAGGGTAGGAATGAGGACCCATTTACTAGTGTATTTTCGGTGGACCATTTTGAGAAGATCGGAGTCGGTATCGAGGGAGCAGACGGTTCAAAGCAACCCCAACTGCGTGTGGTTGGGATGCCGGGCAAACATGTGCCTCCCAATGGGATTATGGAGACATTTAATGATATAGTCAAAGCCGTAAGTATACGCATATCCTCTTCTTTCCTTTTGATTTCTTTGTCTTATCAAGACTGAACTATCAAACAACAGATTCCCCCAACCAATGGCTGGATGCTCGAACTAGGTCATGGCAAACCGAATATGTCGGACTTTACCTGCGGTTATCGTATCTACATATCCGGGGATACACTCATGGTAGACGAGCTCAAGGAAATCCCAAGACGATACGCGGGACACAAGATTGACCTGATGCTCGCCCACCTGGGGGGCACAACTATTCCCTCCCCGTCAGTTGGGAAACTTATAAAGCCGCTAGCATTGATGGTTACCATGGACGCAGAACAAGGTCTGCAATTGATTCGGCTGATACAGCCAGACCTCACGATTCCGATTCACTACGACGACTACGACGTGTTTGCCAGTCCACTAGAAGATTTCCGTCGTGCCATCGAGGCAGCGGGTTTAACGCATAAAGTAGTGTTTCTAGATCGCCAGGACCAGTATCGTTTTCAGGTCAGGGGATAAGAGAGCTCGTCGCAAATATACTGGGTACAAAAAGACTCGCTTGGCTACCCGTGTCTGTTTGAACCGGTCACGCTCAGCCTTGACCGTGTTGTTTGGGAAATACAAGGCTTAAGAAGGATAATTGATGTTGACAGTCTCGTATTCTTCTTATTAAGATAGCACCAATGGGCTCCTTATATTATCAAATCTAGCTTAGGTTCATTGGCCCAAAATATGAGGATTGCCAGGCTATGTTCCCGCTCTGTTTGTTGCTGTTCGCTCTTAAAGTCTGCGCTGCAATATCAATGGGGACAATGGCGAGCGGCTGCAAATCTTACTCGGTTACTGGGTCCATTGTGATGAGAAACAGAAGCCTAACGGGAAGGACAAGTTGGATGTGATTCTTGCATGACCGGCTAGTACATTTAAACAATACTACGAAAACTAAGCAGAGTATAAAAACAAATATTATTAGCCTGGACCCATATAGCTAGAAGTATAAGTTCTCTTATAGCTCAAATAACAAGGAATAGCATTAAATCGATTATCTTCTATATATTACGAAGCTATTCTCTAAGTATATCGAGATCGTGACGCAAATATCATTGGGCAGATCAGAGTTTCTCCGTGGAAAAAGAAAAAGAGATGTTATTGGATTTCATGAGGGGGATGGGATACTTCAATGGCGACCAGAAGACAGAAAGACGGCTAAGCAACTGATGCAGGATCCACGGCTCAAAAATTAATTACCCGAATACATTTAAACTGCTCATGGGAAGCTAATAATATTATTGAACCTCTTCTCAGGTAGATTGTCTAAAACACAGTTTAACTGTGAATTATTGACCCCTGAGTCACTGTGCACGTAACCTCACAGTGATAGACGAGCTGGCACGTTCAACATTCTAAATATAGGGTAGATGGCAAATGCAGAGTTGTATGCTTCGCGATCGATATATCTTCTGGCCGTTGTTTGACATGTTTGCATCAAAATGTTTTGATTTCAGCCGCGAGTGGCATTTCCAATCACACAAACCACACGATTCTGTTAGAAACTGATACAAGTCTGATATAGTAATCTTCGGTGCCTCAAAGCCCGGAGTCCATCATTTCATATCCCTATACATCCTGCTTTTGCCGTTCTTATCTCCACCCCCTGCTTGGCCAATCTGACTACGAGCGTCCCATTTCAATATGATACCGGGGAAGTTGGATTCTGAGGATATTCAAATGAACAGTCATCTCCTTCCCTCCCCATACAATCAATCACAACCACCAACGTGGCTGGAATGTGTGGTCCAAACACTCTGTTACGCCTTACTTGGGGCACCTAAGCATTCTGCGCCAGAGAAGCCATCGACAACCCCACTTGTTCTTCAAAATGATGGGGATGATCTCCCTCCACTCCGCATAATATGCGTCTCCGACACGCACAATGCAACCCCTGCTCTTCCACCCGGCGACATATTAATCCATGCAGGTGACCTGACGGCACATGGCACCTTCGACGAAGTACAAGCGCAGCTCTATTGGCTATCGTCACAGCCACATACCCATAAGATTGTCATTGCAGGTAACCATGACATTCTTCTCGATGAGGCGAGCGATATGAAGTTTGTTACGCGCACAGGGGACAGTGTCACCGAGCGGAAGAAATTAGATTGGCGCGGACTTCAGTATTTGCAAGATGAAGATATTACGTTGGAACTACCGGTTCCCGATTCCGAAGGGCAACAGGTTCGCAGGGTCAAGATTTACGGATCTCCGCAAACGCCGGAGTTCGGTCTTTGGGCTTTTCAATATCCTCCCATCCGTGACGTGTGGACCGGTCGGGTCCCTGATGATACTGATATCCTTGTGGTTCACGGTCCCCCGGCTCTATATGGAGACTGGGATGGCGACAGACGGACGACTGAGAAAATCAAGGTGAAAGGGGATGGATATCTGTTGCACGAGATACGAAGGGTACAGCCTAGGATGGTTGTCTGTGGTCATATCCATGGAGCGTTTGGTCTCGCTATCATTAAACATGATGGAATCCAAGAGAGCATAAACGACATACAAATGCGATGGGGAGGGTATGGT